ATATCATACTTGTTGAACCAGATGTTAAAAGAGTGACAAAATTTTCAACATTTGTATTATAAAATACAGGATTAATTGTTAATGCACACACTGTGTGATCACAATTCACAGATCACCTGTTCATAACACATCACAGTTGATGGGCTTCAGGCTGCCGATCAAATACCAGTTATATCTATCAATCTAATACCAGTGAAAGTTTTGCCAACAGCTGTCAGCTGGTGAACCAAGAGTAGCAGGCGGTGCTGGTTCTTGGGAGTAGGTCAGTAGTTTGTACTGCATTCTATTCAGGAGTCCAGGTCTTCATTCAGTAGCCATGGAGACTGGAGAGAGATGACTTAATCTGCTGAAGAAGAAAAATCAGTCAAAATGGGTAGGCAGTTGGGTTTTTATTAAGTGACCCATTGTGAAATGCTCCATCAAGCCTGATAATGCTGACATAGATGGGTAGAGGTACATTGTTGCACAGAAATCATCTGTTTAGGGAACGTTTGCTCACAGAACAAAAATTGCTTTTCTTTAGTCAAGACTTTTCGCAGAACAAATCTTCCGAGTTCAAGAAAACTTAGAAACGGGCCACTTTTCTGACACTGCCTGCGGCTCCTGCAGGCAACTATGGCATACTTCCTGCGCTAAGGTCCCTGCAAGGAAATCCCACCACCTCCCTGTTTGGCATTGTCCTGCATGCCTCGGCCGCGAGTCAGCCCAGCTCTCTGACGCTTTCAACGGAAGAGAGGTTCCAGACACGGGCGTCGTCGAAGGACTGGCAACTCTAAGGAGAAGCACTAAACTAATCTCGCGAATACCTAAAGGCGTAAGGCCCCTGGTGGCCGATGCCCTATGCAGCGCCTTAGAGGATGCCCTTAAGCTACGCACAATCTGCGCGTGGTGGACCTTTCTGTCTTTCGCGTTCTTCGCGCTACGCACACCAGGAAAAGGCGATAATAATGTCAGTGCCGCAGCGAGCATCAGGCAGCAGCTCTCCAGCCCCAACCAAACTATGACACCAAACCTGCTTCCCGAACCACCAACAAATGACTCAGCACGAGAACATCAAAAGCCTGCCACTGACGCCCTGGCCCGTCGGATCCTCGGGAAATGTGCAGATGGCGACATCCGGGCGGCCCTAAGGCTACTGACCTCAGACGATACAGTTGCCGAGCCTGACGCCGAAGTAATCGCCGAGCTAATGCTGAAACACCCAGCTGCTCCCAAGGACGAGCTTCTGCCGCCACCGCCCGCCCCATCAGACCCAGGGCCGCTCACGGTGACGCCGGAGGAGGTGGAGGCCGCTATCAACTCGATGCCTCCGGGATCATCAGCAGGCCTAGACGGCATCAGGCCGCTACATCTACGCCAGCTTATCTCCAGGGAGGCGGCTGAGAGCGGCCGCCGTCTTTTGCACTCTTTGACGGTACTCACCAACCTGGTGCTGGCCGGTGAGGTGCCTGATTGTGCCAGGGACGCCCTTTTCAGCGCCTCACTATGCGCACTCAGGAAGAAGAGCGGCGGATTGCGGCCCATTGCAGTCGGGAGCGTCTACCGACGCCTGCCATCCCGCATCGGAGCACGCTTCGTGGCAGACAGCCTTGGTGCCGAACTCCGTCCTGTCCAGCTCGGGGTAGGAACGCCCCTGGGCTGCGAGGCGGCGGTCCATGCAACGCGCAGTTTCATTGAAGCCAGCCGACAGTCAGCTGCTCCACACGTGCTGGTCAAACTTGACGTGTCAAATGCTTTTAACACGGTGCGGCGCGACGTCTTCTTGACCCGCATTAGGGAGCGATGTCCGGAGGTGTACTACCTAGCCTACCAGGCCTACAGCTCACCCAGCCCACTCATCATCGGAGGGCAGACCATCGCTTCGGCCTGCGGTGTCCAGCAAGGCGACCCGCTCGGACCGGCCGCGTTTGCTATCGCCATTGACTCCTGTGCCAGAGCAGTGTCAGCACCTCTGAACATCTGGTACTTGGACGATGCAACGCTGGCCGGTCCAGCCAGCGCGGTCGCTGCTGACATCGCAACACTTCCAACAGCGCTGGCAGCCGCTGGTCTCTCACTGAACGCGGCCAAGTGTGAGGTGGCCTTCATTGGCGCTGAAGATTCGGACCACCGCGACGCTGCCATCAGCGCCATCTGCTCTGCGCTGCCTGACGTCAAAGAGACTGAGCTCACAAACCTATCTCTGCTTGGCTCTCCCCTGACCGACGGCAGCATAGGAGCAGCAGGGGAGGCAGCCTCTGCTATGGTGCAACGCCTCTGCACCCGGCTGCGCGAGCTAGACAGCCACACTGCGGTGTTTTTCTTGGCGCACCACGTATCGGCACCGCGTCTGACGCAAGGTTGGAAAAGTTGCCGTTTTCTGGTATCAGGATGCGCCAGGAATTTTGTACTCCACTAGAAAATGACAATTTTTGTACTCCAATGACTACGCATCCCACACAAATAAAAGGGTGTGAAATTTGACAATGAACTGTCCATACTCCCTTGTGTTACAGGTACCCAGTGGAAACACAGCTTCTGCAATCCCAGCCCAGGGGCCCAACCCAAGTCAGGGCAAAAACTACAAGTACAATGCACAGCAAAATGAGGATCGAAGAGCCAAATATCCTGCATAACATCCACCAGCCGTGATGAACAACTACCAGGACTGATACTTGTACTGGTACATTGCTGTGTTATGCTTAATAAATTATGTGCTTACGTGGTCCTGTAGACAATGTACATGAAATAAACATGCATGCAAAATGTTGTATTTTGTGAGCTTAATAACTTAGAATGACTTGCATTTGTGCCAAGTCCAAATCCAGGATGATGATGGGGTACAAAGTTATCAAAAATGCCATGGAGTACCTATTGGTCTGGACCAGGGTCTGGACCAGGGGGGTACGCTCCGGCTGTTTAGCATTACGAAAAGTGGTGACAGACGTTTGTGGAGGATTGTCGACGAACTCCTGTTCCGTGAGCAGCACTCACGCGCTAGCGGAAAATCCACCAATCAGCGCTCGGCAGTGCTCGACGCTGATTGGCCCGCCGCTCGTGACGAAATTGCGGGGGACCGCAGTTATTCTCTATGGACCCGAATAGGCTTTTGGATTTCGGAGGGGTTTCTTTAAGATTATATGCTGTTTCGAGCTGTTTTCGAGTTGAAATATATTTCTTATGACTGTTAGCTATATAATGGCACCATAAAATCATGATTTTATTTAATATTACCGATGTAATATCGGCCGAAAAGACATGCTGTCTTGGCACGGACTGCCCTGCGTCTGATGTGGGGCCTCTAGTGCCAGCGTATGGTAATAATGGGCTGACGAAGGGTTATTGGAGACTCTTAGAGCCCCACCAGGATTCAGTATAGGGTCATCAGAGGCCGGGAACGTCCATCAGGGGTCTGAGTAGGCCTACCATAGGGGCATACATGACACATCATGGAACATGGGTCAATCTAGATCCATTAGGGGCCGTTGAAGGGCCATCATTGTTCAGCGTGGGCCCGCAATTACCTCTGATGGGCATATGCCGTGCCCCGATGGACTAACGCTGGCCCCTGATAAACCATCACCAGCCCCTGATAGGTCTACAAAGCCCCCTGCTGGGTCTAAATTGGTCACTGATATGCCCAAATGGGCCACTGAGAAACCCGTACAACATCCCCTGACCGCACCTGATGGACCAATGCCGTCCCCTCATGGGCCCACCACGGCTCTTGAATGGCCTCTTCAAGTCCCTGAAGCGCCTTTATTGGCCTAAATGGACCCCTGATTGGCTTATGTGGTCCCTAATGGTCCTATATGGCCCCCATGAGCCCTCAACGTCCCTAGACAGCCTTACATTATATGCCACCGGCCCCTGGTAGGCCTGCACTGGACCCACTGGGCCTATACCGACCCATAAAGGGCCCATGTCGAGCCCTCATGGGCCTCCGATGACCACACGCCGGCATGTGTGGCCCCATCAGCAGTGGTCCGTCTATCCCATGTACTTACGGTCTTTTTGGCCGATGTGACACCGGTAGTATATAGAAATGTCATGATTAAATGTCGTTATTATATAGTCAAAGGTCACGGAAAGAATATCCAAGCTCAAAAATGGCCTCAAACCCAACAAAAACTGATACAAATCCCCTTCAAAAGTCATAAGTCAATGAAACGCCATAGGGGAATAGCTGCAGTCCCCCGCAATTTCGTCACGAGCATCGGGCCAATCAGCGTTGAGTATTGCCGAACGCCGATTGGTCGATTTCCGTTAGCTTGTAAATGCTGCTTGCGGATATAGTCTTGAACAAGTGAGGGTCGCGGCAACTAAATATTGCTTGTCACCACTTTTTCTTCGGGAGCGTTCTACCTGGTTTATATAGCCTTGGTCTGGACTAAACGCTGCATGTGTACCTATCGTAATAGGGATCATAGGGATATCAAGGAAGCAGACACCTTGATTAACACATAAATATTATCAAGCTAGACAAGTATCTGCCAGCTGCGAATGAGGTTAATAATTTAGCTGTAACCTTCATCAGTCATGCAATTAAAATGAAACACGGGATAATGCAAGTAAAACTCACAAGCCCGGCCACAAAATGAATGAATACACGTCGCAAGGTATATAAAAATACCATACTATACACTAAACACTACACTATACACTATGATACGTCGTATATATTCCTATCTCCATGCCAAGCGCTACCCAAGCCGCTACCTAGCACAGCACAAATAAGTGCGCAATGATTGTCTTTTTGTTAGAGATGTTCAAGTTCTGCACAGCTTCTGTGGAGTCGCGATTCAGTTCTCCTAAGGATGGAATTTTAAATGGTTTTTGATCGGGAGACGACTTGGAATCTTTCGACATTTGCATCGTAACTTTCGCTCAAATAATGATTGTTTGGGGTTTAAAAAAAGAAGAAAAATACAACCTTTCAAAAAATGACCAATTTTTTTCAAATAAAGTGCCCTAACTGTTAATATTGAAGATTTTCTGAACTGGAAACTCGATGATAAAACTTGAAGTAACGACCCCGTACTCCTTTGCCAATTGCATGCTCCACACAGCTCCGTTTCTCATGGCCCGGCCATGACAGATACAAAATTGAGCCTGCTTTCTGATGGTAGGCAGTTTTTGGCCAGAGGACCTATGGTTATTGCGAAATTGGTGTTCAAAGGCTGTACTCCGACCTCTGTCTCCGGGTCCTGTGGCCGTAGCGTAATCGCGACTCCGTGGTGTGTGCTGTGCCAACTCTATCGGGCCGTTTATTTCGCCGCGCCGATATTTGTGCCGCTGATGTCGGTACCGGCGCGGCGTTTTCCACGTTTTCGAAGCTGGATGAAGTGATTATATTTTCGTTTGTTTTCCATTGTTGCCTGTTTTCCATGCTATGAGTATAATTGTAAAAACAACCTAAACAACCTAACAGGTTTTGTCTTTTATAATTGTAATCAAGCGTGGGTCGTGGGCATTGGCATTAGCCGTGGGGTAAGTGAACGTTCCACTTTGATTTTGGTCTGGTTCCTTTCATGATAGTAAATAGGTACCATTAAGCTGACTATGATGATTAATTGATAATTTGACTGTTACCTGGAGTGGAGTCAATATCACTATCATTAACCTCCCAATTGTCTTTGCTGATCTAGGTACTATCAGTTGTCTAACAAATTCAGATAATCTTGCTTTCAGTTATAGCTTGCATTACATTACATTGCATGACTAAGAAGTGCTTCCTGGTGCATACGAGAGCACCAATTTTTGGTTCCCGACTCTCGTCCCTACTTCTAGCTGCTAACCTAATCCTTACTATGACCAGTGACCACTAACCACTCAATTACGATCACATAGTACCTACTTGCCACTCTCAATAAAAAGTTCTAGCCAATCGTCTTGCTGCGTCACTCGATAAACATTGTTTTCCACACTGTATTGTTTATTCACATGCTTCCAATTCTACATGCATAGGTACAAAGAAACACACTGCACAAAAAAAAACACTATGCAGACGCAATTGACCACCCCAACGCTGTACAGTTGTACTCCACTGGCCCAAAAATTTTGTACTCCACTACCAGAACAAAAAAGTGAAATTCCAACCCTGGTCTGACGTACCTGCTGCGCTCCGCACCGGCGTTCAAAGCCCCACACGTACTCCAGGCAACTGACGAAATGGTGCGCAGCACACTAGAAGCGGTCTGCAACGTGGCCATAAACCCTGCGGCATGGGAGCAGGCGTCGCTTCCAGTGAAGTTCGGCGGCCTGGGCATCCGGTCAGTCGAGGCACTGGCGCTACCAGCGTACATTGCGTCGGTAAACGCAGCACGCCCCCTCATCCGTTCCATCTGTCCGAGTGTGACTGATGAACTCTCAGACACCTTGGAGACCGCAGTCAGCGCGTTCCTTCATCGCACAGGGGTGGACCGACAGCAGCTGCCGGACGGTGAGCTGGTCAGTAGTCAGCGCGCGTGGGACACCGTCGCCTGTACGGTGGTCCAAAGTCGCCTACTGGTACCAGCCAACCAGATCGACCGAGCTCGGCTCATCGCCGCCGGCCAGCCGCACACAGCGGCCTGGATCCAGGCGGTGCCGGTGCCGAGTCTCGGGCTTCACCTTGACGACGAAACCGTCCGCGTCGCTGTGGCCCTGAGACTCGGCGCCCCGGTTTGCGAGCCGCATCGGTGCCGTCTGTGTGCGCGCCCCGTCACCCCGCTGGGACATCATGGCCTCTCCTGCCAGAAAAGTGCGGGTCGCCACTCGCGTCATGCCCACTTGAACGACGTGGTGCGTCGCGCTCTCTCCGGCGCTGGCTTTCCCGCCATTCTGGAGCCAGTCGGCCTCGACCGGGGCGACGGCAGACGACCGGATGGCATCACCGTCTTCCCCTTCCGCGAGGGCAAGTGTCTGACGTGGGACGCGACCTGCGTCGACACTTTCGCCGACCACATAGCGGTGGAGTCCGCACTGAAACCGGGTGCAGCTGCAAGGCAGGCCGAAGAGCGAAAGCGGCAGCGTTATGCGGACCTAGCCAGGAGGTATAGCTTTGTTCCGCTGGCACTGGAGACAACCGGTGTCTATGGTCCGGCCGCCGCCGCTTTCGTCCAGGACCTGGGGAGACGCCTGGCAACCTGCACGGGTGAGCGTCGCGAGACGGAGTGGCTGCGACAGCGGCTGTCCGTGGCCATCGCTCGCGGCAACGCGGCCTCCGTCCTCGCCACCGCTCCCCAATCTGGCATAGAACAAGCAGGCCAAACCCGCAGGGCTGCCTCCACCGCTGGGAGCAACCCAGGGACGACGCGCCGGTGGCCGCGGAGCCACGCGGTAACGGCGGCTACGCCTAGCCGCAACCCACTGGACGACCCCGAGCTGGCGCAGTACCTGAAGCCACGCGCCGCTCCCCGGTCAGTCGATGAGAGAGTGGCAACTACTCAGGAGCTGACCGACCAGCTCCTGAGCATCGCGCCCAGCTGCTCCGGAGTGTCGCCAGGGTCGCCTCGCCCCAATCGGCTGGCCACCTACGCATCGCTGCTGGCTGAAATGAAACGGGACGCAGTGTCGGGACGAGATGAGCGCCCACTGTGACGAGGACGAGGAGCGGAAGGCCGAGTGCAGCGTCTGATCAGCCTGTAAACCGCCTTATGGAGACATTCCAGAGGAAGATGGAAACATCGCAACACAGTGCGGACCGTATCATCCAGCTACCGTTCGGGATGCTGCCACTGGCTGCTGTTCGCATGCTGCCCCCGTCTAGTGTGGATTAATACATGTGAATTAACTTTTTAGGTGACCGTCAGACGGAGCGAGTTGAAACAACGCCTATTGGCAAGAGAAATGTACCGCCTCTCATGGGAAAATTGTGAATAGCTAATTGATCGACGCCAAGGTGGTACAAATCGCTAGAGAAAATGGTGTTTGTCGATGATGTGCCACTTTATTAATTACACGGGTTTTGCTGCATAACCTGATACGTTTGGCAATTGAAAATAGTACAGTTGGAAAGAGCATTCAATTTTGTCCAAGATACACTCATCATTTTTGCATGATGAGCAACAGTATTCTTAAAAAATGTAAATGTTCCAAACCATTACATTGCCATTTTTAGCGACATTCATCGATGGCCCTCAAAAGACTTCACGCCAGTTTTTGAATCATTCTTAAGTAGAACGCATGATAATACGACACGGGCACCTCGATGCGATGCATCTTTTTTGTTTTATTACAGCATGCTTGGCCGTCAAAAAGCAATCGAACGAAATGGATACCAACCAAATCAACACAGACCAACCCAATACCCACGGGTCAAAAATAACCATTCTTCGCGTTGCGGAGCACGCGGGTAACCCTAGTGTTTTCCTCTATAATTCCATGCTTGAAGGTCGTTAATCTAATGGCCATCCTGATTTTTGTGATTGGTTGTCTGGGATCTTTGCAAATGTCTGTTGTTTACCATTGTAACACATTTCTTCAGCTATTACCAAGTTAATTTTGCTGTTTGCTGTGGACAAAAACTGTGTCATGTAATTGACTACCTATGGTTCATCCTCAGTGGAAAGAAAGGCTGTAGTATAGTCTATCTCCATTGGGGTAACTTATTTAGGTTCTTTTATAGGATAAGCCAGTATGGGAATTCCTAGACAGGATGAGCTAGAGCTGGGACTCTCAGAAACGATAAGGCAGTACTGGAAATCGAAGACAGGGTGTTGTCAGTGCTGTAATTCTTAGACTGGATAAGACAGTACTGCAGAAATTATCAGGCCAGATAAACCAGTACATATCAATATTGGAGTTCTGTGGGTTTATCCTCAGACAGGATAAGAAGCCAGTGCTGGAGTTCTCAGACAGGGCAAGCCAATACCAGGTGTGGTAGCTTTTGGCAACTCAAAGTCACCTACATGGTAAATGCTATATTTTATATTTTGTATAATTTATTGTGTGGGAAGTGACAATAATGACAATGGGAATAGAAGAAGTGACAAAGATTCATGTCAACTGATGTTTAAGGTCCTGTCCCAGTCTAAGAACACTGTAAATATTTTACCCTGTATTCTGTACACCAAATATCTCATTGGATGATGGCATATGACATATGTAAGTTTGTTTTGGTATATTTTTAAGTTTAGATATTATCCAAACTTTGGGTAATAAGCTGATATGCTGCACTGCAGTGTTCTGCCCACCCCACTGTAGAACCATACAATGCTGAATGGGAGCTGCTAGCAATTTGTTTGCCCTCTCTGCTCGACCCTCCCTGGTGCTCGTCTCTCCCCTCTGCTCGACCCTCCCCTCTGATCGACCGTTGTCTCGGCTCGACCGTCCCGTCCGCTCGACTGTACTCTCCGCTCGACCCTCCTCTCCGCTGGACCGTCCTCTCTGCGCGACCCTCCGGCCTCCTCTCCGCTGGACCGTACTCTCCGCTCGACCGTACTCTCAGCTGGACCGTCCTCTCTGCTGTCTGCTCGACCCTTTCCTCTGATCGGTCCAGCATAACATGCTGCGGAATTGGCTTTGTGTTCCCATTTGGTGCAGCTGTTGAATCCAGCAGAGGGTGTCAAAAAACGATCGAGCCCGGAAGGAAAACCGATAGTTGCTGGGGCGGTGCGGCGGCCGGCTGTTTCTGACCACGTGGCCCGGCATGGAGCGGACACGTGTGACGTTAACGGCGAGGGTTTGTCGACGCGACGTGGCACGGGATAGTCTGACATCGTATCTGTGGGCGCTGAGCAGCCGGCTGGCTGCCCCGAAGGGATAGCAGGGACGGGATAAAGTAAACAGAGCACTTAGAAAACAGGCTGACATATGACAGGAGGGCGGGTAGATCAGAGAGGTGAAGGGACATAAAGAACCTTTTAAGCCGCGTTCAGCTGATCAATTAGCACGGAAAGTTGTTTTTTGCCCAATAGCCCAGTCATGCAAGTCAATCAATAACTTTTCCTACTTGATACAGTCTCCAACATTGAGTTTCGCACTCTCGGCTGCGTGAGGGATGCGACATGACCGTGAGGTGACGTATGACGGCTGGCATAAGACATTGTATGCACCGCATCACGGAGCCTTCGATATCGGAAACTCTTTCACTCATTCAGCATGCAGCTGCAGAACTATTACAATGAGTCGTATTGAGTAGTAATGACGATAACCGATGCCTTTTAAACGTCCGGTATTAAATCGAAGACCGTTGAGTTAGTTCGGATTATATGGATTTATGATGGAGGTAATCTTTGGAAACTTATTCGTGCATGAATATACAGAGAAGTGACTATCGTTGGCGGGGAAGAGGGTGGATCCGGATAACCATCGCTCGAATTCCAATTGTCTCACCATCTGGCATCTGCATCACAGTGAACCGTCACAACGGCATAAGATAATTAGGCAATTACACATCTTGTGTACTTGTTTATTTGTTTAACATTGGTATTGATGCGGAACTTCCGCATTCTGGAATTCTGTGCGGAAGCGTTCGATGAACGACAACGGCCATATTTAAAGGTTATGTTTTATACCAGACATGCCGTTAGGATGGCCTGTATAACGCCCTTACGTGCCTCTGTGCTGCTGACAGCGGCGCGTGCGGACGGAGCGCCGGCGGCAGCCATGAGTCTGGCGGCGGAGGAGTTCCACACAGACACCGACGGCGCCCACTACCGGGACGGCGCCATCGACCTGGTGGCCGGCTCGATGGGCGGCGTGGCCAGCGTGCTGGTCGGACAGCCGCTCGACACCGTCAAGGTAAAGATGCAGGCCTTCCCGGAGGTGCACACCAACCTGCTGGGCTGCTTCCGCACCACGTTCGCCGGCGACGGTCTGCGCGGTCTGTACGCCGGCACGGTGCCCGCGCTGGCAGCCAACGTGGCAGAGAACTCGGTACTCTTCTGCGCGTACGGCTTCTGTCAGAAGCTGGTGGCCCGAGTGACGCGCACGCCCGACGTGGCCGAGCTGTCCGTGATCGGGAACGCCACGGCCGGCTTCGTGGCGGCGTTCTTCTCGTCGTTCACGCTGTGTCCCACCGAGCTGGTCAAGTGCCGGCTGCAGGCGATGCGTGAGACACACGGCCGGCTGGACGTGGGTCCGTTCGGACTCACCAAGCGGATCCTGCGCGCCGAGGGCGTGCCGGGCCTGTTCCGCGGCCTCACCGCCACCATGGCCAGGGAGATGCCCGGCTACTTTTTCTTTTTCGGCGGCTACGAGGCGACGCGCGCCCTGCTGACGCCGGCGGGTCTGACCAAGGACGAGATCGGCGCGGCGCGGACGATCGTGGCCGGCGGTGTGGGCGGTATCATGCTCTGGGTGGCCATCTTCCCGGCCGACGTGGTCAAGTCGCGCATCCAGGTGGAGGGTTCGCGCGAGCCGATGTTGCGCGTGATGCGCACCATCCTGCAGAAGGAGGGCGTACTGGCGCTGTACAACGGGCTCGGACCGACGCTGCTCCGCACCTTCCCCGCCACGGGCGTGCTCTTCCTGGCCTACGAGCTGACCAAGAAGAGCCTGCACAGCCTCTTCGGCTGACCGCGGCCGGACGATCATCTGAGACGCCGTATGTGCCTTGTGCCCAGATCGATACGCTTTTAGGAAAGATCTACTCTAGGTGCCTTAGAGGGTTCATAGCGCCTTTACAGTTTTCATAGCAATGGTATGTTCAGGGATCGAAACTCTGCCAGTTTTTTTTTCTTTTTCTTTTTAGATGCAGTAGCCCCTTACACCGTAAGGGTTGCTCATTTAGCATTTAGGTATGTGATACCCAGACGTTTTCCGTAGTTTCCTTGACCTTCGCGTGGCCATACATTGGTGTTAATGCTTCTAGTGAGGTCAAGAAAACTAATAAGGCTTCGAGAATATATATGCTAGCATTGTCTGGTTTCATCTGAAACACCTTGGATTCGGTGTTCAAGGGATGCGGATTTTTCAGCGGTACTTTAACAGCATTTGACCTGAATGATAACTATTCATGACATGTAGTGCCCTACAGGTTGATATTGCGAAATGGTGCATTAATGCATTTCATATTCACTGTATCTTGCAATTAGCAATGGAATGCGGGTGCCTATGCGTCTCAGGAGTCAGGCTGACATGTTTCTGTTGATGCTGATGTTACTGGTGAGCGGTATAGTTATACAGAGATTGCCATGAATGTGTGTCGCTTCAGCGACAGATCTGAGCTTAGCCTTTTGGCCAAATTTTATATGCCCTGCATTTTTCAACGAGACAACTTGACGAGTCATGTTAGGACTCGGATAAAAATGTGATTTCAAGTGCCAAAATGTTTATCCTGTGGGGTCGATGTTACGTCGTGCGACTCTATGTCATGTAGCCACTAGCCAGTATGTCTTAGATACGATCGAAACGAGGGGTCATTTATGATATTTGTAGATTTGTAGTCGCCTTGCTAGGTCGCCTTGATGTGAAGGGAAATCGTGTGTACCTGTACACTGGACAGCCGCTGGCTGAACAGAAAAGACCTATGTGGTTTTATGTAACCTGCGCTGCTGCATAGAGCGTACTTATGAAAAGACTACAGTGAATGACGAATAAATGAAAGCCCGATTCACGTTTTAGTTTTGTTGCCTACATGGCTTTTGGCCATAGGAGCTAATACTACTTGAAGTATTATGAAAATGGTTTTTTTTCTTTTTGCCGAAAATGGTTGTGAGATGAGTGGTTGTTGAGCCGGCTCACAAACCGAAAATTGTTGTTGTGAGCTGTAGCGGATACGCCGTTGCACGTGTTTGGTTCGTCATTCGTGATAGAATGGGAAAGGCTTTATGGGGTTATGAGCCTGCCACAAAGGCGTAGCAACATTTTGCGATTGGCGAGCAATGAGCATATTAAATGATATAGGGCATTGGACGGTATCTGTGCATGTCTATGTATGGATTTGGTTGGAGTGTTGGCAAGGGCGCGGGAACTACTTTCAGACTAGGAGGGGGGGGGGGGGGGGGGACGCCAGAATGGAGATCAACCTAGGGTACCCCCACAGATCTAGTTTTCTCACCGGTTTTAGGCCACTTATTTTTCATCCCTTGGCTTTTTCAACAAAAACGAAAACATTTGCAAAAAAGGTGCGGTATTCCGTCTCAAAGTTGTGGGGCACCGCCCTCGCGGCCCCAGAGTTCGGGGGCCAGCTGCCCCCACTGCTCCCCGGTTCCCGCGCCATGATGTTTGGGAACTTACACGAATGAGGGAGAGAAAGAATAGTGGAGTTATGAACTTGAAAGTTGAAGGCAGGTATATAGGACCTTGGGCACACGTGAACTTGAAGCATTATAATTGCTCTCAATTTTGTTGTCTGCTTTGCGGCTTTGCCCTATATACCCTCAGGGTATATAGAACAGCACATACCCTGGCTTTGCCCGCTGGCACTGTCCTTTTAGTGCCGGATATTCGGCGTCAATAGACGCGTTTACATAGGGTTTGTTGCAAGCTTATATCTCCGTCCGTGATGTTGCAAAAGATGCCAATGGTGCTTAAAGGAAATAGTTCACTTTTAACATGGGATTTTGAACTGGAATAGCAGTTTCGTAGCTTGAGCTGAGACTAGCACAAATCAGGAGCTTTTACGGCTCAACGATCACCCTAGACGAAGATATTCCATTTCTCGTTCCGAAAAGAGTGCCTTGCAGAGGAATGTGTGCCTTGCACAGGAATGCAGCCACGTCATCGTCAGCCAATCAGCATGCTGCTTACAGCTAAAGCAGCATGCGTAGGTTTGAACTACGCAATATGATTGGTCAACGCGTAATAAGCTTCCGCGTCAAACATTATTTTACATAGAATATAGTTCGTCCTATATTAAAATATAGAAAATAATTGTTTTTACAAAAAGGTTTTATTTTATTTTCTGATCATTTTGAGCATAAAAAATCGTAAATCCATAGCAAAATACTAATTTCAGGAAAGTGAACTGTTTCCTTTAACAATTTACAAAATGATCCCCTCTAAATATTTGAAGACCACTGCAACGAAATTATCGCCAAATTAACGAGCTAGAGCCTCGTCAAATATGCTATGTAAACCGGGTTAATGTCGGTGAAATGTCAGTGAAATAGATGACTCAAAGTTTTGCAGTACAGTAGCACTACACTTTTCACGTATATGACGCAGCGGCTTCAATGATTTTCACCCATGTTTTCACCATAGAGTTCAGTGGTTCAGTGATTTTCACACGTCCATCAATTGAGCAGCAGATTGATATTCGCGAATATCAAACTAAAAATTCAGTATTCGGACGGGGAACGCAATAACTCAAGAACCAGTGAACCGATTTTGATGAAAAGGCCCTCATTCGATTCCTCGTTTCTTATTGCAGGTTGATAGCGATTTCCAGGTCACTAGGTCATGACCTTCAAGGTCAAGGTCGAGGTCAAAGGACGGGGAACGCTCTACAGCCTAAAGTTACCGTCTGATTGGCTTGTAAATAGTCTCGATCGATTCCTCGACCCCGATTCCAGGTTGACAGCGATTTTCAGGTCACTAGGTCATGACCTTCAAGGTCAAGGTCAAGGTCAAAGGACGGGGAACGCTCTACAGCCTAAAGTTACCGTCCGATTGGCTTGTAAATGGTCTCAATCGATTCCTCGACCCCGATTTTTATGTTGACAGCGATTTCTAGGTCACTAGGTCATGATCTTCAAGGTCATTTTCATTAACAGCAGATTCGCGAATACAAGGTCAAAGGAAGGGGAACGCTCTACAGCCTAAAGTGACCGCCCGATTGGCTTATAAATGGTATCAATCGTTTCCTTGACCCCGATGCCAGGTTGACAGCAATTTCAAGGTCACTAGGTCATGACCTTCAAGGTCAAGTTCAAGGTCAAATGACGGGGAACGCTCTACACCCTTAAGTTACCGTCCGATTGGCTTGTAAATGGTCTCAATCGATTCCTCGACCCCGATTCCAGGTTGACAGCGATTTCGAGGTCACTAGGTCATGACCTTCAAGGTCATTTTCATTAACAGCTGATTCGCGAATACAAGGTCAAAGGAAGGGGAACGCTCTACAGCCTAAAGTTACCGCCCGATTGGCTTGTAAATGGTATCAATCGATTCCCCGACCCTGATTCCAGGTTGACAGCAATTTGCAGGTCACTAGGTCATGACCTTCAAGGTCAAGGTCAAGGTCAAAGGACGGGAAACGCTCTACAGCCTAAATTTACCGTCCGATTGGCTTGTAAATGGTCTCAATCGATTTCTAGACCCCGATCCCAGGTTGACAGCGATTTCCAGGTCACTAGGTCATGACCTTCAAGGTCAAAGTCTAGGTCAAAGGACGGGGAACGCTCTACAGCCTTAAGTTACCGTCCGATTGGCTTGTAAATGGTCTCAATCGATTCCTAGACCCCGATTCCAGGGTGACAGCGATTTCTAGGTCACTAGGTCATGACCTTCAAGGTCATTTTCATTAACAGCAGATTCGCGAATACAAGGTCAAAGGAAGGGGAACGCTCTACAGCCTAAAGTTACCGCCCGATTGGCTTGTAAATGGTATCAATCGATTCCCCGACCCCGATCCCAGGTTGACAGCAATTTCCAGGTCACTAAGTCATGACCTTCAAGGTCAAGGTCAAGGTCAAAGGACGGGGAACGCTCTACAGCCTAAAGTTACCGTCCGATTGGCTTGTAAATGGTCTCAATCGATTTCTTGACCCCGATTCCAGGATGACAGCGATTTCCAGGTCACTAGGTCATGACCTTCAAGGTCAAAGTCTAGGTCAAAGGACGGGGAACGCTCTACAGCCTAAAGTTACCGTCCGATTGGCTTGTAAATGGTTTCAATCGATTCCTCGACCCCGATTCCAGGATGACAGCGATTTCTAGGTCACTAGGTCATGACCTTCAAGGTCATTTTCATTAACAGCAGATTCGCGAATACAAGGTCAAAGGAAGGGGAACGCTCTACAGCCTAAAGTTACAAGTAATCTTGAAAGTTACCGCCCGATTGGCTTGTAAATGGTATCAATCGATTCCCCTACCCCGATTTCAGGTTGACAGCAATTTCCAGGTCACTAGGTCATGACCTTCAAGGTCAAGGTCAAAGGTCATGACACTAGTGAGTTCTCTATATACCGTGATTTGCATTTGATTGGGGGTGGTCACTGGTCAGTTCCAGGGGGGGTTCATCGCCATAGGGACACACGTACAAGGAAATTGCTACCAAATGCTGCCAATGTGACGTCACTGGGATGCTCGAAAGCTGATTGGTCGCTGAGATTCGAGTTATGTAGTCAATTCTGGCGCACCGGCGCAGTGTTTTCCGACCGTTGCGTGTTATAACTTTGGTTGCTATGCAAAGTTTTAATATGTTTGTTTGATAATATAAACACGTTTTCATGTGTTTGAAGGTCGCAAAAGCTTAACATAAGTGGCAACCACACTTTGTATTACGTTTCGTCTCATATATCATGAAGAACAACCAAGTATTTCAAGCTGGGATCATGCTGAGGAACCTCAACCAAGGTATTCATTTTGCAATGGATCTAAACATAATCTGGCGTTTTTTAAAGTTTCCATTTTTGCAATTAAACTGGTACCTAATAATTTTTCAGTGCTCGCAGTGCGCATTAGTACCTTCACCTTACATGATACAGTACACTCAACAAATAAAATGGTTAGAGAGCAAACATACAATGTAAACAAACTAGTGCTACAGTGGCAAATTGAAATATAAATGAGCTCTTTACTTTTTAGCATTAAAATTTAAATTGTATATAGTATGGTCACATACTGCGGGCTGTGCTCATCTCAATCTCGTTGCAATGTTATCAGAGCGTAAAAATGAAAACAAATGTTTTTGCATGGTATTTTTGTTTATTTTCAAATTGGTCACTAAAGTTATTTCATGGGTAGGTGCTTAATCTTATTCAATATTTATTTATTAGTTGCTTGTACTGTCAGCATGATGTTAGCCAACTTTGCTTGTGCTGAGAGTTTTCTGTTTACAGGAAAGCTGAGGCGAGGGCAAGTAGGTCCCTGAGGAGGACCACTGCAAAGGAGGTCAAGGAGATTCTGGGAGCAACCTGCGAGCAACCTCTAGACCAGCCAGCAGGTACCTCTGACAAGTAAGTCTAATGGTTTATGTTTTCACTCACATTGAAAGTGTTCATAAATAGCCATCGCCCATCAGTGTTAAAAATCCTGGCCCGTCTAGAGCGACACCATCATTTTTATTCCCATTGTTAAAATGCATCAAAACATTCTTTTTGCCATGAGTAATGGTAACTTTTTGTCGGGATAAGGCCACTCAATCCAATAAGGTGATATCTCAAGTCACATCCACTAAATGTTCTGATAATGACCTAGATGCTGGTCCTAACTAGTGTTTAGAAAAAAAAAACTGAGTTGTGTTTCAGTCTTGGTTGGTGTTTGAACATTTTTATATGCAGTGTTTTTTTTCCTTTTGAAAAAGTGCCATGCTAATCTCGAGCGAATTCGAGGGGCAGTCGCCAAACGAGGCTTCAATAGTAACGGGAAAATGGATTAATGCAAAGCCAAAGGGCATGAATTTTTCGTTGTCCGCGAAATCTGTCACTTTCAATGCGTAGACTAGGCTCATTTAAGTGTTATCGTTTTTTTTTTTGTTGCACAATATTAAATTGCCAATGTCTTTTAAGTGATGTAGCGTAATACTGCTTTCACAGTGCCGCTGCCGGTGTCGACGCTAACAGCCATGGCCGGCGCCGAGCTGACGAGTTCCAACCTGGAAGCTCAGCGTGATCAGCCGAGGCCAGCTGTTTGTTCTGTCACAAGCCTGGATGGCCCCTATGGAGGAGTTCGAGCGGAACTTCTGCCTGCTGATGGGGGAAACTGCAGATCAGGGGCCGCGAGTCATACAGCGTCTCAAGCTGTTCATCGCCGTCAAGCAGCCTCAGCTCGGCACCCGCGTGTCCAGGAAGTTGGCGAGCACCCGTCTCCACCTCCCCCTTCGGTCCCTTAGCCTGACTGGACGAGGTCCGGCAGCTGAAAAGAGCCGATAGAAAAGTTGGCCATCATGCAAGGAGCTCTAGGTGAGCTGGTAAACCGGCTCGTGTAGCGACTACGACTCGGCGTGGTGCTGTGTGACTCGGCGTGGTGCGGCCGGCTCTGTGTGGGTGCTGTGCGACTCGGCATGGTGCCTCCGGCTGTGTGTAATGGCTTTGCGACTCGGTGTGGTACGGCCAGATCTGTTGGTGCTGTGTGACTCGGCATGGTGCCTCCGGCTGTGTGTAACGGCTGTGCGACTCAGTGTGGTACTGCGGCTCTGTGTGGGTGCTGTGCGACTCGGCATGGTGCCTCCGGCTGTGTGTAACGGCTGTGCGACTCGGTGTGGTACGGCCAGATCTGTTGGTGCTGTGTGACTCGGCATGGTGCCTCCGGCTGTGTGTAACGGCTGTGCGACTCACTGTGCGACTCGGCATTGGGTAACGGCTGTGCGTCTCGAAATTGTACCACCAGCTGTGAGTAACGGCCACCCGTAAGTGAAACTTATAATATTTAGTGACAATCTGTATTCGTTTTTTTCAGCAATGTAATTTAAGTGCATCCGTCCTGAGCGCACTAGCAGGGCAGCGGAGTCGATGTAATTTCGGTGACTCCCGACTCCTAGTTCCAAAAACTAATTACGACTCCTACTCCGGTCCGGGCAGAACTGTCTATTCTGACCGATTCCGGCTCAGACTTCGCTGAACTGCAGCTCCGCAGTCTGCGGAACCGATGAATTTTTGGTGACTTCGACTCTGACTCGTGCTCCGACTTCCAAAATCGACTCCGACTCCAAAACGGCTCCAGTTCGACTCCGACAATCCGATTCAAAAGTCCGGTCCCGACTCCATAACCCTGCGCCCTGGGACCCATACAAGCCTCGCTGGTTTCGGCCCGCTCTTCCTGGACGTGACCTTATATCACTATTACTCACTTTAAAATGCGACATATTTTCAATTTATCGTGCTAAAAGTGCTCGCGATAGCTTTTTGGGCGTTATAGCACGAAAAAATGCCACCGGAAAGCCCGTAGTAATACATGTCTATACATAGGCCGGCCGCGGCGGGAGCATCCCAGTGACGTCATCCGGGGCCGGTAGGGGGAACGTAAAAAATTCCCTAATGAACCTACCTGGTATATAGGGCCTTGGTCAGTTCAGTTCACGGTATATAGAGAACTTGAACTGGTTCAGTTCAAGTTTGGGAATTAAAGGGACTATCCCACCTTTAACATGGGGTTTGAGTTGAGATAGCCAAGTTTGCGGCGAGGTTCAGAAACCACTATCTATCTAGGTTGCAACCCCCGCGGCCTCTTGGTGTTGAAGAAATTCGTTCCCTTCATTTGAAAATGGGCCTTGCGCAAGGCCCTATCTAATGGACGCCGGTGAAAACAGGGCGCCGGAGGGCATATTAGTCACGTGACATTTGGAACTTCTCCCCCCTCCATGGGCCTTATGTATGCCAAACGTCACGTGTAAATTTCACGAACCTTGATCAAATCGCCCCAGGCGCCCTCTTTTCACCGTCGTCCTATCTAATCAACATGGAGCGACCGTTAGTGTGACGTCACCTCGTTAAGTCATTCTGATTTAAATGGGTTTGTTCGTTGAAAAATCGCTTAAAACTTGGTCTGAACTTTGTTGTGGTGCCTACAGAGTAAAAAGAATCAGCTTTATGACAGTAATGTGGCCGGTATATGTCAAGTTTAGGTCCTAACTACAATTGTGGCGCTTTTGATACGAATACGAAACAGGAAAAATTTTAGGTTTTAGGTTAGGTAAATTTAGGTTGTAGGTTTGTAGGTTTTAGGTTGTAGGTAGGTAGGTTTGTAGGTTAGGTTAGGTTAGGGTAGGTTTGTAGGTTGTAGGTTGGTAGGTTATAGGTAAGTAGGTAAGGTTAGGTCAGGTTTGATTATGTTTTTTTCTTTTATTTGCGAGACATATGAGTATCATTTTTGGATTCAGGATGTCAAATAATGTAAAAATATGAAAAATTTATCAATGAAATCTTCTTAGGACTTAAACTTGACATTTACCATGTGGCCTGGGGAAGGAGGTAATTTTGGGCTGTGACGTCACATATTTGAAAGTTTGTGTTTGGAATATGGGAAGCCTAAGATGTTTAATGAAAAATAAATGCCAGAGCTGTGTTCCTGGTCATCCAATCTATAAAGTCGGGCACAATTTAACTGGTTTTAACAACATTTTAGAAGGTGGGATAGTCCCTTTAAGTTCGAGAGAGGTGGGCTGATAAGAATAAGACGGTAAAATACCTTGGCGGTAAAATGACCAAATGTCTTTGAAATGTGGACATGTGATAATTTACTTTATTTAGCCAATATTTAGCTACCTATTACCCCTACGTCCTACCAGGTTTACTACTTTTGAATTTGAATAATTCGCTCCCGAATAAGGTTTTGTTATGATGAAGCCGATGAAGCACCCTTTGTCTTCCAGAAAATTGACTTATTTTTGAATGGGTAATGTTATATTTATTTGCTAGCACCAAGGCTCATAAAAGTGATCTGCAAATGCCTGTACCTAGTAGCAGGTAATCTCCCAGTAAGTAAGGTGCCTCCCTGGTGCCATTTTAGACCGGCTCAAAGTGTTGCCGTTCGGGAGAGGCGGGAGAGGTGCCCTCGGGGCTCGTAACAGTGCACGCATCACTGTGTTACTCAAGAATAAATAATAGAAGTTAAAAAGTAACTACCTGCCTACATAGCCTTATGATTGATGGGTTATAGAAATTTTGAAGTCTTAGTAAAAGTGCCACAATTTGTGTTGCGAGCTCCAGGTACATGCCCTCAGGCCACCTGCCCCGAACAGCCACCCTAGAGTGCACCTGGTGCCTGGTGGCTGGCAGACTGAGTACTGACTGTAGATTGTGCCCATTTGTGTTGGAGCAGAGCTTCTCTCCAAATTCTGACCTGCCCATATGCATCCCACATTCCCACTTTGCAAGGATGGACAGCCAGGTGCAGCTGGAGGGCCGTCTGATCGACATTGTGGATGAGGCGTGGCGGCGTGACACGCTGCCTGAGGAGGAGATCGCTGTGCCATTGTATGAGCTGCCCGACCCAGAGCCCGACAACAGCAACAACACGGAGAGTCTGCGCCAGCAGGAGCACACGTGGAACGAGCTGGCGCTGCAGCGGCTGGCTGAGCCGCGCCAGCCGGCTGACGGTGACGTCACCATCGGGGGACGGCTGTGAGCGGGCCGGAGCCACCGCTGGAGCAGCACTGACGGTTCCACGGTACGGGCTCCGACGAGTGCCCACCCCCACGCTATCATGTACTTCAGGATGAGCTCTAACCTACTGTGGCACGGTACCCGTAGCTCTCACGTTTCGCGAATCATACGAGCCTTGGCGCTACACAAGGTACTGTCATCATTAAACGAGCTGATATTACCGGACTTTTACAGTGCGAGCTTATACGCTTATGAGCTTATACAACTTTTTCACGTCGCGAGCTCATTCGCAACTCTTTCACGGTACGGGTTTATACGGTCCCGTTTATGGTACGAGGCTATTGCGAACCCCTTTTGCCGTGCACGGTAATGCGCAATTATTCCATGGCACGGGCCCATACGGACCTCTTTTGCGTTACAAACTCATTCGCAACCCTTCCACCGTACCAGCTCATGTGAACGTAACCGAACCGCTGTTTTCCTTTATGCCTGTATGACCGCTAAATTCTCAGAAGCGTTCATACAACGTTAGCGCTTTCTCTTCTCCTGCAAACAAGCTACTTGTAGAAGTTCGCGAGTTTCTGTTGTTTACCCTCAGATGGCCGAGCTGCCCACGCTGGGGGAGCAGTGTGGACTGGCCTCGTGCCGGCAGCTGGACTTCCTGCCCATCGCCTGCCAGCACTGCGCGCGCTCCTTCTGCCGGGACCACGCCTCCGCGGACGCCCACGGCTGCGACAAGCGGCCTGAGCCGGCCCAGGTGAGCCATGAGGGACGGTCGGCGGGACTGGGGACACACATACTGGGTCACATGGAGCTGAGAGGTGTGCCGTAAGGTCCCACCGAGGTGTATGTGGGTGGGATGTTTTGATAGGTAACAGGATGCTTGCGTGATACAGGCTTGGTGCTTTGATCGGTACCTAGTTTTGTATGATTGTATTTAGGGGACATAATGAGGGGTTTGGAAAGACGGGTGATTTCGCGTCACTTCGTGTGTATGGTGTGGATGGAGCCGCTATTAGCCGTTTTCACGACGGGCTATCCGGCGAATGCACCTGATTTGACGAAATCTGCACCTAATTTCTTTTACAGCAAATATCTTCACTTTATGAATTTACTTCAGTGTTTTAATCGATGATGCTCTCTGATAATATGACAAAGCAGGCATATAAGCAATTAGTGCAACCCTAGCTGATAGCTGCTAACTGCTAAGAGATACACTGAACCTAATTTGACCAGATCTGCACCTAATCTGTACCAGATGTGCACCAAATGTGTACCAGATAGCCGTCGTGAAAACGGCTATTGGCGCTGCCGGGTATCAACCATAGCGCTAGGTGGCACTAGTGAGCAATTGTGAGACCCGATGAGAGGCTGATGGGTCAGCCTGGTCAGCCCATGGCTCCAAACGCAGCACTGAACTAAACCTTGAGCTCATCATGAGTCGGATTTGTCGGGATCGCAGAAATTCATTAGCGTCTTCCTTGCAGCAATTTTCAATGTGGTTCACGCTTTTGGGTTTCCTTGGTACACATTTTACCGACGCACTGAGCGGTTCAGGGTCTCAGTAGATTCTAACTGAAATGTCGTAGCTCTAAGCTCAGTCGCATTTCCACGCTGTTCCGACACGGCGTCCCCGTTCTCCCAGGCCGACCTATCGTCGAACACGCGCATCTACGCGTGCCACGTCTCGGGCTGCGGGGCGGCTGAGCTGACGCCGGTGGTGTGTCCGGACTGCGGCCGGGGCTGCTGCCTGGCGCACCGCCACCCGGCCGGCCACGGCTGCGCCGCCTGGCAGGCGCAGCAGGCGGACGCCGCCCGCCGGCTGCCGGAGTTCCAGCGCGCCGCCGCGCTGCAGGCGGAGCGCCTGTCGGCCGCGCCGGTGGTGGTCAACTCCGGCCGGTCGGAGCGCGCGCGGAAAACGGCGCGCCAGGTGCAGCTGATGCGTCTGAAGCAGCGCGCGGCGGGCGCCGGCTCGGTGCCGCTGGCCGACCGGCGCTACCTGCTGCTGGTGGCGCCCGGCGGCCGCGGCGCACCCCGGCCCGTGTTCGTCAGTCGCCGCTGGACGCTGGGACGCGCCGTGGACGCGCTGGCTGACCTGTGCGGTGCTTCCAACAATAACGACAGGACCGGCGGCCGGCGGCTGCTGCTGTACCGCTATACGGACGGCGGCCGGATCGGGGACGCTATGGACACGGTGATTGAGGAGCTGCCGGACGGACAGATGGACAACGCCGAGACCGTGGTCCTCGAGTACGGTGACCCGGCCGACACGCACCGCAGCGATGTGACAAAGTATGAGCTCAAGTGATGCGTCCGCCCGCTGGTGTGTGCTGGGGGCTTGCAAAGTGTCACGTGATCTATCCTCTGGTGTGTGCTTGGGGCGGGTATCTGGTCACATGATCGTGGTATGGCAACTACGTTCTGACGGACATAATTAGGAACAGGTTGACTATTCCTCTGCGCGCGTTTACATTGTATTGTTGCCGGAATGTTGAAGTTTCACTCGTATTCACTGCATGCTTCGTGTCCACATTGATTCAATAAACCCATTGTGCTAACGCTTTGTAATAATTCTCAGCGGTGAATTAGATTTACGATATGTGTGGGCTTAGTTAACCCGCGCCCCGTAGGGGGAGGCCGAAACGCCCCCCCCCCCCTGTCCTTTTCCGTCGATATCTCCTAAACGGCTGGAGATATGGCCACCAAACTTTCAGGACCCCTCCGGGCATCAATTTTACACATTGTGACCAAAAAAAAATCCAGAGGCTGTGATAGGTTGGCCACAAATGACGTCAGAATGACGTCATCTTCTGTCATTTTCGACCGAAAAAAAACCTTCGCGAGAAGACCTGTCAGGCCTATAGCTTTGAAGATACAGAAAAATGATCAAGACATAAAATGTGTAGAATTGACAGGGCTACAAAACTGCTATCTCGGATTTTTAAAAATTTTTGAGTTTTGACCCCCCAAAAAATAAAAAAATTGATATATTAGCCAAAAAATAAAAAAATGAGGTTCGAAAAACCGGAATATATGTGATAGTACCTACCGTCTTCTATCTACATACCCAATTTCAGATCGATACCTCGTTTTTCGGCCAAGTTAAAGCAAAAAAAACTCCAAAAATGATGACGTCAAATTTTCAAACCCAATTTTTGGCAATTCTAGACCTTGTAGGGCAAAACAAAGACCACCGTTAGACTCCCCGTGACGAGCTGCATCGAATCGATACCCATTTTATGCAAAAATATCAACTTTAAAATTTGACCTAATTTGACCTGACCTTGACCTGACCTTCACCAAAATGTGACCTAGGCTGGCCCCAAAGGCCGCCTAACCCACATAATTGCATTTGTCATGTAAAATGGACCATAAAACATGTATCACACGACACTTTCATACTGTGACCCCCGATTACCTGACCTCGCTGTGACCTGACCTGGCATCAGTGACCTCAGATAGCAAAGTATGTGTTTAACGAACAATGTACCATCGATGGTTTTCAATAAATTACCAATTTACTCGATTTCACAACACATTTCTTGAAATGCCTGTGAACGGTGAAAATCCGACCTTTTACCTGACCTGTGACGTCATCGGTTTGACCTAGGTCAATGAAATTCGGTCACAAGGTAGTTCCCTGGTGGGGCTATCGAACGCCGTTTGAATTTTGAAAATCGGCCGGTAAATTTCCGAGATCTCAGGGGGGGGGGGGCGAAACGCCCCCCCCCCCCCCTACGGGTGGTAGGGTCCGCCGATAGCCCTACGGGGCGCGGGTTAACGTTGATGCAGATTTGAGATGAATCGCCATTACAGGAAGCGCCTAAAAAGGAAATGGAGGGTCCACCCAGTACGAAACGAGTGCAGGAGCTAATGCAGTGCTTAGTGCAGAGAAGTGCAAAGGACATCACAGAAAGGCGTATGTATGTAGGTATATAAGAATTGTTCATGGGGAACCGGGGTATAAATTGATTCACCGACCACTCCGACGCTGTGTACGGTCTCGACCGGCCTCCGGACTGGAACAACAAGCAACAGAGGTCTAGCAATGTAGTATGTGTTGTTCATCTTCTAACAAATGCTTTGCATTGTCAGCAGAGACTTGCATCAGCTTTTGGCAGACGGGTACCCCCGGCAGGACCGCTGAGCTCACTTGGGGGTAGTGTGGGGATTCCACAGGGACTCCTGTTCGTGTCGTCCCTCGGATTCCCCTGTGGTGCGCGGCAGGCTATCAGGATGTGGGGCACGGGAAATCTGTCCAACAGGCGCTGCGGTCGACGTCCGGCCTCTCGACTCTTCGCGTCCCACGGGCACGTCTTATCCGTGCATCAGGCACCCGTACACTTCACCCACTTTTCAAACCCTTGCTGTTGCCTGTATTTGTTTACAGCCCTAGGACTGTCGTCTTCGTCGTCGTGTACACGCGCCGTCCTGAAATCATCGGCGATCGGGTAGCGTCATTTGCCGCTCTTCCACCAGCTCCCCAACGCGACACTGACCCAACCTAACAGGGAGCCTATTGGGTGAGCTGTGACACTCCATCCAGTCGCGGATTCATCGCGGAAGATTGTTTTCGAAGATTGCTTCGAAAAACAACGCAAATTTGGCGTTGTTGGATGGTATAAACAACAGTGCACATTAAGCATAGGGGGCTAATTATTTCTTCGATGTGTCTTGATCACCGATTTGGTTGTCTCATTAGGTATATTTCCAACAAGACTCAATACAAATGAAGTTGCGAGCGATCATGTGGTCAGCGCCCGATCAGACACACATCTGAACTCACGGCATCATTTCGAATGCGGTGTATTGAGGCAATACCATACCCCATCACAACCACTAACCGTGCATCCTTTGACTGGCCCCATCCAAGCATGAAGGACGGGAAAACAACTCACCTTGGGCTACCTTACGGTATTGAATGCTCAAATTGGACAATAAATAACCACCACTGCGACATGGAATCGTTTAACGTCTGACGTTGGTAATTGGTATACAAAAAAGCCCACGCTTAAAATTAACGACTTACAGTCTCAATGCTTATGCATTTACGATACAAATGGTGAAAAGATGCAAATGAGCACAATATTTAATGATACAAGTGTAATATCAGAACAAAGTTCATCAAGCTGAGGATCGCGAAGAGAGCCTGGATTCCATATGCCAGGTAACCATACATGAAATAGATTCAAGTCTTGATTTATCGATATATCGACAATAGACATGCAGTACGTCTCGCTATCTATGAACCGTTTATGAGCTTACCACTAAGCCCATTTGGCACTTGAGAGCTGCTGTATAAACACTATAAATACGTTTCTAGGAATCACAAACAACTCGACTGCCCTTTCTTTGGCTGTTCTTCCGTAACTTGTCTAGCACTGCACGACTCAGTACACGAGACAAGGCATAGACGACACATTACCGCACCTCACTATAAGGCCCTGCGCCTACCGGGAACCAGCGACCCGTCATACTGCTTCGGACCCGAGAAACCAACCGAGACAGCACCCTGCCGCCACCAGCCGCCCAGAACAGACCTCCCCTCCACCAACGACCTCCAGCAGCGCCGTGATCAGGACGGCGCCCACTGGCACCGACCTCCAGCAGCACCGTGATCAGGACGGCACCCATGACTGGCACCGACCTCCAGCAGCGCCGTGATCAGGACGGCACGCTCCAGCCGTACGGCGGCGGCTGGGCGGCGGCGGCTCCGGCTGCGGCTGCGGCGGGCGGTGCGCGCTGACTCCTGAACAGGCCGCGGGGCCGTGTGACGGTGACCCGTGGCGGGCGCGGCTCCCACTGGTCGGCGTCTGCCCAGCGCCAGCGCCAGAGGACGGGCAGCGCGGCGGCCACCAGCAGGCCGACACCGACCAGCGGCCGGAACCACAGCCAGCTGACGGCCACTGTGGCCAGCGAGACGGCCACCGAGACGCTGAAGTTGAGCGAGGTGACGCCGAGCGCCACCACCTCGCGCACCACCGGGAACCGGCTCACTGCCGAGGGTAGAGGGGGCGTAAAGGTCAGACGCAGCTCACACGGCGGACAGAGAGGGAAGGGCGGTCAGGCACGGCTCACTGCCGAGGGTAGAGGGGGCGTTAAGGTCAGACGCAGCTCACACGGCGGACAGAGAGGGAAGGGCGGTCAGGCACGGCTCACTGCCGAGGGTAGAGGGGGCGTTAAGGTCAGACGCAGCTCACACGGCGGACAGAGAGGGAAGGGCGGTCAGGCACGGCTCACTGCCGAGGGTAGAGAGAGAGGGAGTCAGGTGTGTGCCGTACAGAGGGGTAGAGAGAGAGAGAGGGAGTCAGGTGTGTGCCGCACAGAGGGGTAGAGAGAGAGAGAGGGAGTCAGGTGTGTGTCGCACACGGCTCACTGCGAAGGGACGCTGGGGGGGGGGGGGGGGAGGGAGCTGAAGTGCGAGCACGGCTTACATGTTTACGATTCATCACAGTGATCGTTGTATCCAACTTCCAAAGGGTTAAAGGCTGATGGGAGTACGTGCCTAATCGACTCGTAGCCTAATCGCACACCGGGCAAGTTGGAGAGTTCAGCAACACGTCGTGTAGCTCACTGAGATGAACTTGTCATACACTAGGAAATCCACACGGAAACTCGGAGACCATATTTGACACCCCCACTAAGACCAGCCCCTTCCAGCATCCCGCCGCCGCCGCGCTCACCGAGCACGTTGAGCAGGCTGGTGAGGCAGCTGAGGCCGACGAATGTGAGCAGCCAGCCGGCGCCGCGCAGCCACCAAGTCAGCGCCCGGTTCGACGACAGCTCGTCGGCGAAGATGTCGTGGTGCGTGCGCCGGCCCGGCTGCAGCAGCAGCAGCTGGTGGCCGTTGGAGGTGCGGTACGGCACCAGACGGTCGCCCTCCTGCTTACCGACCACGCTCACCTGCAGGGAGGGGGGGGGGGACGGGAACGGTAACAAGGGCAACCAAATGGGGACGGTTAAGACTCAGGGGAAACGGGACCGGCGACGACGAGAGGAATTCAGGCCCTCAATGATGGCGCACAGTCGCTGACGTGAAAACTATGCCACGACGCGTATGATAAAACGCACGGTATATCACAACGTAAAATAGCGTACAATTTTAGATGACTCGAACATTGACAAGGGATGTAGTATTTCTAACCCATCTGTCTAACATATGACGATATGTAAGTTATAATTTATGAATTGTGTGCTGATTGAATGTATATCTGCGTTTGCAACAGAATCTGTTTGAAAAACACCTCGTTGTGTAGTTATCAGGATGATGAAGCGTAAAATAAGTTTTCTACGTCACTGGTCAAGGGACAGAGCCGTCAGCATGTTAATGTTGTCCCGCTGCAGGCCGGGGATCAACATTGCAGCGATTCCGGCTACTCTGTGTGATCACGTATAGCGCTGACCAACCACATGCGCAGTTAGCGTCTCTAGTGGCCGGGATTGTGTAAACAAACACCGTCACCCTTCCACTGGAACCCAGCCGACGGACCGCCACCACCCGCCCCGCGGCGTCCCCCCCCCCCCCCCCACCCACAACCCTCGTGACCCTGGGTCTGCCAAACACTGGAGACTGGAGAGCCGCCTGTCCTATGTCCGCAGCCGCGTCTGCACTATGTTTATGGGGTCAGACGTAACTGTAAACAGCGCGCATCGCTCCGCTAAAACATATGCCCAGGATGCTCCGCAATCCTCGATGCAATTGCAGCCGCTGCCGGGTCCGAAATCCGAATGTTGCAAAATGTTGCAAGTGACTTGGGGCCCAGCTCATTAAAATGTTTGGGGGCCCACCAGCCTATGATCGGCCGCTGCTGCGGTCCGGCGAAGCATAATTGGTAAAATATTCTGTTAAGTTTTAGCCCTCTTATCAGCCAAACAAAAACGCGTTGCCCGGCCGGAGCGTCTTCTTAGAAACATCAGCGGCTGGGCGAGCTAATAGAGACCACTCAGACCCCTCCCCTCCCTCCACAACACACCCATCCACTCAGCAACCGACTGCAAACATGCACCAGCCACGAGCGTTCCATCGCTACCCGCGAGGTCAAGAGCTATGCAGCCTGAGTGATGCGATCTGATTCGCAGAGGCACTGCTGTTGAGAGCGCCCATGCTCTCCGACAAGTGGGTCTGTCAAAGATGTATGACAACTTCAAGAGTGGATTGTTTGATTGATTCGCGCTTTGCCATGACTCTTGTTAGTGCAGCCTGCAAAATGTTATATAACGGGGTCAGCGATCAGTCGAGGACATGCACACACTGTTACCACGTCCATATCGAACTACACGGGCTGCCAATATCACAGCACGGTGCGCCAGCTTATCATCAACTGGTACTCGGAGATGGGCACCGAGATGAGCATTGAGCGGTGATCACCATGGCTGTAATTGGACACCACACGAGTGCCATGGAACCTCATTTTAGTATACCGAATACCGATATAACACTAATTGCACATTCAGGATAGCTGCTCTTCATATGTATATAGTAATTAAAGTTTGTTAGTGAACTCTTAGACAGGGTTTTAGACGGTAACAGTCGCCCATTTCTTTTTTTCTGATGAAAAAATGCGATGACGAGGAAAAAAGGATATTTGTCCACATCAACCCTCGAGCTAAACAGAAAATGTGAAGTGCTAATACAAAAGAACCTGATGACATGCTAGTTCTTCACAACAGCCTCGGCCCGTTGCTATCACAGCGAGGAGAGGCAAACAGCTCCGATGTGAGATGTATCGGTATGACGTCAACGAGTTTTAACTGTACCGTGTTGATGCTGACCGCCGGGGGGAGGGGTGGGGGGCAGAGGGTGCGCACAAAGAAGGCAGTCCAGGCGGCGGCACGACCTGGTAACCAGCAGAGGCCACCTTGACACGTCGTGGTCATCTGTTACCGGAGTCCAAATGCACGCAGGCGCGCACGGCTTCGTTTTGATATAAAAACCAGCAATATAGGTAACCAGCCTCTGGATTACTCGAGCAGACCAAGCAGCTGTCAATGCCACTTTGAGTGATGTTACACTTTTGAAGTAGAAAATATATAAACAAATAAAAGAAACAACTAACAAGCAATATCAAGCACCGTCATCCGCGCCAGCCGCTCTGATTGGGATGACGCCACCACCGAGCCATCTCGAGCGGCCGATTCTGCCCGGTCACGCAGGCGACAAGTGTTTACAGCGAATACCGTCCTGATTAGCAGTCTGGCTGTGTGTCTTACACTCGAGAACGCCTATCAGGGATGATTGTCAGCCTAGGAGCAGTGCCACATCACAAAAGCCGTCCAAAGTCTCTGACAATTCACCACTCGAAGGACCACGACGGGTCACAGGGTGCGATCAAGTCGCCTGACGACAATGCGAACGTTCAAACGCAATAAAAAGTGAGTGCCATTCGGCCGCGAGATCAGATATCTATCAGCATTATCGGTGTGCAAGGTCATCCAAGCACAACTGCCTAGTGACCGACCGCCTCCTACCGGATGACGGACCTCGATAGGGCGAGCTGAGAAACCCGCCACTCCCAGTTCCCCAGACTAATTGTTCGGTCCGGCGCTCCCAATTTGCTAGCGTCACTGTCGCCAACCTCATATCATCAACCGATGTGGGATGTCTAACTGTAAGCACGGAACATGCAGCAGCCATCGTGTGCTTCGCTTCGCCTTTTCGGAGAGCTCATCCCACAACCACACAGGAATAGTCATTCCTTCCAAGCCGTCCCTCCCTCGGTCGGTGTGTTGCCAGCCCCACTCACCGTGTCTCCCGACTTCCCAGCGTAGGCGAACTGGACGCGCATGTCGCCCACCGCAGGCGACTCGATGTTGTCGCAGTGGTAGAAGATGTCGCCGTGCAGCTTGATGCTCCGGTCGGCCGGTCGCTCGTCAGAGGCGAACACCGTGAAGCGCGTCAGCAGCTGGCGCAGCTCCTCGGTCACCAGAAAACCGGCCAGGTGCGCCACGGGCGCCTCCTGGATCCGAGACTCGAGCGGCATCGTCCTGGGGAGGGAGAGTGAGAGAACTGAGCAGAGGTAGCGGGCGATGGTAGCAGGAGGGGCATTCCACGATAGATCGACCAAAGCCGTACACCCTCATATTTTATTTTTTGCTTAAAATTGGTCTTATGGGTTGTGATGGGCGGGGAAGCCAGCTGTGCCAAGGATTTTTTTCTTCGTACAACGGTTTCCGAGATATAGCCTCAGGCAATTCCTGGAGGTCACGCTGCAACCCTATGTTTGGCGGCTTATAACTCAGAAACTATTGGTTTTCTATGGTAAAAACTTTATATGGTTCAGCTCGCAATTAACCAACAAACGTTTTGGCTATCTCGGATTTTCGATTTTTGAAAATTTTGATCACGTGACATCTTGACCTTTTTTCGAAGAGTGACCTTGATATTTTCCCAACTGAAAGTCGCAATTATGTCTGATGACGATTAAAGCCTTATCAATTGTCATTCATATGCGAAAATAAGAAGTGGCTATCGCCCTGCGTTGACCTCAGGTCAGGTCATTTTTATGGCCTGTCCATTATTACGAGCGGGAGCGATAGCGAGATCTCGAGAATAGAGCAAGATAGCGACAAGCGGTAAACGGTACAGGATTCACACGGATAAGGTCTACAATTTTTACTGAGGTCATTTTCAGGTCAGGTCAAAAATGACGTCATAGGGGTAAAAAGGAAGTCAAAATAGTTTTGGCTGTACCTTTTGATCTAATAAAGAAAGAGACGTGGAACAGGCACCATTGTATTTGCTTTCGCCTAGCGCCAGTTCGTTTTGAATTTCAATACCGATGACCTAAGGTCAGGTCAATTTCTTGACCACCCCATTATAAGTCAATTGGGGAAAAATCAGCTCCCTTGTTTTTACACTGAAACGCGTCGGAATTGCCTAATATACCATGAGTGACTTCATAATTCATATACGACTAACTTTGACTACCTTGAGACCTTTTTTGCTCTTGGTCAACTGTGACGTTGCTCTTGGGTCATGTGACGTCATTAAAGGTCACCAAATGTTTTTTTTTTTTGCTAATAACTCCTTACAGGTTTGAGATACAGCCGCGCGGATAGGCTCATTGTGTTCAGCTCGTCAAGGCCCATCGAATGATATATATGATGACCTTAACCCTCGCCGGCACAGGCCATTTTGCGTCCTTCGACGGCACAAGGGGGGGGGGGGGTTGGTACGACCCCCCCCCTCGCGTTTGGCCCCTGATCGAGCTAGAGCTTCGCGGAAAAAACGAGCGTGTTGCCCGTCACGAGACGAAGCCGATGATACCCAATTTTAAGGTCCTAGGTCATCGGGTGACCTTCCAGGTCAGGTCAATGACCCGAAAACCGGGAAAATCGGGACCTGTTAGAAAGTCGTAAAGTGTGGCTGCTATGTGGTTTTCCGGGGTGCTGATCACGAATATCGTGTTAGTTTTGATCAGAGATGATGTCTTTAAGCATTTAGACCAGGTCGGGTCAGGTCAGGTCAGGTCAACCGGTAGGGGTTGTGACGGGTATTCGTAATACGTGTCAACCGCCTCTGACAGCTTCGTAACATGTTACGAAGGCACCAAAACTACTTCGTAAATGTTCAAATGGTTGCTAAATTCGAATTCAGGTCCAAAAACTAGCCTAGAAACATGTAAAACTCGAAAAAGTGAACCGAGGTCACCCTAGGTCACCAAAGGTCAATGACCTGACCTGACCTTCAGGTGACCTTGACACCCACCCTAATGTATGGGAGCAACATCAAATCACACGTTTGAACGTTTGAAACCACGAAAAGCTTGCAAACGCACGGCTAATGCGAGCCGACATACGCCGAATCGCGATTCCGGCCAAACATGGTCTCGGAAAAGAGGTCACAGGTCAAAGGTCATTTGGGTCAGGGTCATGAAATTTTCAGGGTAGGTGTAAAATTGATCAATGCGAGGGTACTGAAAGTTTCGTCGCGATCGGCCGCTTTTTACGCGAGTTATTCGCGAAAAACCTTAGGGGGGGTTGCATCAACCCCCCCCCTGTGCCGGCGAGGGTTAAGGTCACGTGACCTAAGGTCAACTTTTGACCTTGACCTTTCGAGGTCAACATACACATGTTTCGATGCGGATCGACAAGAGGATCACGATGGTGCTATTAGTTTGTTCCTAGCTGGGATACTATGAAAGTTATTCGAGAAAAACTTCATATATATGTAGTGCCGCCATTTAGACTTTCTTTTTACCCCTGTGACGTCATCTTTGACCTGACCTGAAAATGACCTTAGTAAAAATTGTAGACCTTATCCATAGTACCTTGTGCCGTTTACCACTTGTCGCTATCTTGCTTTGTTCTCGAGATCTCGCTGTCGCTCCCGCTCGTTATAATGGGAAGGTCATAAAAATGACCTGACCTGAGGTCAACGCAGGCCGAAAGCCACTTTTTTATTATCGCATATGTATGAATGACAATTGATAAGGCTTTAATCGTCATCAGACAAAATTGCGACTTTCAGTTGGGAAAATATCAAGGTCACTCTTCGAAAAAAAGGTCAAGATGTCACGTTATCAAAATTTTCAAAAATCGAAAATCCGAGATAGCCAAAACGTTCGTTGGTTGATTGCGAGTTGAACCATATTAAGTTTTTACCATAAAAAACAATAGTTTCTGAGTTATAAGCCGCCAAACATAGGGTTGCAGCGTGACCTCCAGGAACTGCCCGAGGCTATATCTCGGAAACCGTTGTTCGAAGAAAAAAATCCTTGCCACCAGGGCTGCGGAGTCGGAGTCGGAGTCGGAGTCGGTCAGAGTCGACAGTTGTGACCGGAGTCGGAGTCGGAGTCGGAGTCGATTTTAGAAACCCGAGCCGGAGTCGGAGTCGGAGTCACCGAAAATCTGTCGACTCCGCAGCCCTGCTAGGTCTGCGGAGTCAGAGTCGGGAGTTGGGAGTCGGTCGGAGTCGACAATTCTGCCCGGAGTCGGAGTCGGAGCTGGTTTTTGAAAGCCGGAGTCGGAGTCGGAGTCGGAGTCGCCGAAAATCCATCGACTCCGCAGCCCTGCTTGCCACAGCTGGGTTCCCCGCCCATCACAACCCACTAGGCCAATTTTAAGCAAAAAATAAAATATGAGGGTGTAAATTTTATTTATTTTTGGTCGATCTATCGTGGAATGCCCCAGGAGGGGAGAAGTGGAAGATTTCGTGCTACATATGCAATTTTATGCTACTAGATTGTTATGTCAGTTTGGAATTATAAATCAAATCTCTCCAGTTTCCATCGGATATTTCGCTGGAAGCGCATGTGTCCTGGGCGCGCAGTGCAGACCTGACATCCTAGACAGTACAGGGTGTCCCGAAATTGATGCGCGGTTGGTGCCGCATGTTATGTTGTCCCTCCCGAGTGCTGAACAACTGCAATTTTACCGGCTCTGGCACCACGGACATCTTGCTGGTCACACGATCACGTGACCCAAGCGGCTAACCCGACCGCGGCCGGTAGTGGGCGCGGGAGGCCACTCTTGTCCAGACAGGCAACGTGGAGAAACCGCATATCACCAAAAGTGAAAAGGCACAAACTACCGATCCGCTACCGCGCGGTGGGGATGATCAAGGACGGTGTGACCCAGGTTCCGGATGCCAGAGAATTGGGCGTCAACTCTGCGACAATTAAACTTTGGATGGACTGCAAACGATCAGGAGAGACACTCAAGAACAGCACAGTTCGAGGGCGGAAGACTGCCTTGAGCCGAGTGGCGAAAATCGTGATTGCAAAGTCGACCTTTAAAAAGCACCATTCAACATCGCTGACAAGAAAACTGAATGAGATGCATGTCCCAGCATCCAAATCGACCCTCCACCAGTATTTGAAGACTATCTTGAAGCTGAAGCTGCTCAGCTTCAGGATGCAGACTTGGCCTACCGGTCCAGAAGTGCAGGCAGCTGAATTTCGCGAAGACCCACAAAAACTGGACCATTCAGGACTGGAGATGCGTCCTTTTCAGTGACAAGGTGCCCTTTGTGGTCTCTAAGCCCCTAACTGCCAGAACGATCGAAATGTGGGCCAACGGCAGCTCTGAGGAGTCCGCTGTCGAGACGGTGAAACGTCTGCTGAAGAATCTCATTTGGAGCATGATGAGCTACAGAGGCGCTCTGAGCTTCACGAGGTGCCTCGGGGGCAGACCGTGACTGCTTATTACTATGTTAACGAGGTGCTGAAGAAGACTGATGCCACAAAGATGCTGAGGGAAAAGGTAAATGGTTCAAAAACCAGACTCAAACTTTTGTCGGACATGTCCAGGGCCATTTCCCAGCAAGAAAGGGCTCCAGCTTATCACGCCAGGAATACCCAGGACTGGTGCCGAGCGAGGCTCCCAGGCCTCTGGGAGAAGGGGACATGGTCTGGCAACAGTCTGGACCTGTCCCCGATCCAAATTATCTGGACGATCGTCAGAAAAGAGCTCAGCAAGCTTCCACGGGCTAGCTCACAGAAGAGGCTGTTTCAGAAGATATAAGCGGCATGGCGTTGTTTCAAAGGAGAGACTCTTGACAACCTGAAACGTGACACGCTAGAGTGCAATAGGCCGTGTATGCAACTGAATGGGGACTGTGATAACATATAAGCCGTGAAATAAATTCGAGCACTTTATAAGTTATTGAAGATAGAACAACCGCGCATCAATTTCGGGACACCCTGTAATACTTGTCTGTCCCAACAGCGGAGCAGGGATCGTCACGCGGAACACAGGTCGGTGTTGGTCCGCTGACCACGTGAGGGTGACTCAGCAGCACGGAGAAACGGCTATGCCGAGCGCTGACTCAGAGACGGCGGGTCAGGCCGGGGTCAACGACGAGCACCTACGATATGGCGATCAAATATACGTGACACGAATCCACAACGGGCGTCATCGCTGACAGGGACCGGCTTTGTGGAAAGGACAATCATCGTCTCATGACAGACATGTGATTAGAGGTACCACAAGCGGATTGAAATCAATGAAGTTATTGCTACGAAAGAGGTCTTCCATTCCTTACTGCTTATATTGGTTAGTTATCATTTAATTTCTTTAAATAGCGCACGTTGTCGCAGCCCGTAGCGCACGTTGATAATCAGTCGCTCCAGTGATAGATCTGGCCGTGCAGCTTGATGCGTCGGTTCACCGGACGCTGGACCGGACGCCGCTACTTATCCCCAGTCATTTTCCAATTGCCCCTAAACGTAGGAGTCATTAGGCCGATCGTGTCGTTTTAAATAAACCTTTCCAGAGCACGATTTCAGAGGACGTATGTAGGTCTGACTCTGGATACACGTCGACTTAAAGTTGCTATCCCGATCGATTAATATCCTGGTCTGATGATACATTCCGAGTGGTTTCAATGATAACAGGACAGGCGGATATGATTGTGCTGTAAAGGAAGATCTTTTCTGAGTTGGACAGCACTTTCCGTCATTGCCGGACATAGACGTTTTTCGACCGTCGCTGAATAGTCAGCGGGCAGTTTGACAAACAAAAAGGGGCCGCCAGTTCTTCCCGAGGACGAGATAAATAGAAAGGGCCCACAACATACTTTCTTGCTCCTGATGCTAAAAGGCACAAACTGACAAACAAGGTCATTTAATGTAAGCATTCAGACAAAAATTAGTCAGTTTGTCGGCAACATTAACAATTCTAAGAACCTGGAAGATAAACTATCGCCCAGCACTGCATTTCAGCACCAAACACAGCATCCGCTACAAAATATCCTCCCAATCCCATCACAGTTCATACTCTAAAACCCACTCTCATCTTTAGAACATAGAAGATGTGAGTAAAATGAAAAAGACAATATAGGAGCGTAAACAGCGTCGACATACGAGGGGTATCGAAAAGTTCTGATCATCACATAGAAGATATAGACCGATTTCGATGATTTTTTGTTGGTATTATATTTGGTTCTCAAGAACAATGTTCCCGTAAGGAAAATCCTGAGAAGTGGTTTTATCTTATGTAGGAGAGACTTAGAAGTAAAAAAGATGAGTATTGGGCCCATTGAGGACCGAACCGTCATCCAACTAATGCATTTGAAACGGTATCACACAGAGAAAATAGATCAAGCACGTGAAATTAGTTTATGGCGAGGAAAGACTATCTCATGCACTTACCGAAAATGAATAAATAATTTTCAACTTGGTTGCATGGCCTTTGCAGGGGAGTCAAGAAGTGAGTGACTACCAGTGACTGACAAGGTGGTGACTGTGAAGGAAGTGGAGGACCTCATCCTTACAGATCGTCGTGTGACCTTTCAGATGATTGTGCAACAGAAAGGTCTCAATGCTGGCAGTGCCTGAAAATATTATCAGCGAAGAACTATACAGACGATAAAGGAGTCAGCCCGCTTAGATGTTCGTGTGTCTACTTTGTTGAAGAGAAAAATGTATCTTGGCCTTTCGAAACGAAAACTAGGCCTTTTTTTAGGAAATTGAAGACATCTTCGATCATTTGATGACTTGTGACGAATGCTGGGTCTATGTGTATGATCCAGAGACTAAAAGATGATCAAGAAAATTAAGCACGGCACATCTGTCCTTCTTAAAAGGCGAAGATGCAGAAGCCGATATGGAAGGTCAATGCTATCAGTGTTCTGGATCTGGCGTAGAATAGTCAGCACCGACTGTCTTGATGATGGTCGGATAATGATAAACAAGCACTACTGCACACTTTTGAAGAAGTTGCGAGATGGCCTCAAGCAGAATCGCCGCAAAAAAAAAAAAACAAGAAAGATGTTTTATCCTCACCGACAGCGCCCCCGCCCATTCGTCCTGAGCTGCGGTTGAAGAAACAACATGATTTGGACATTAAATCCTACTGCATCTAACAAATTCATCTGACCGGGTATTAACTGACTCTTAATTGTTACGGGAGATGAGGAATCCACAGTATGGCCGGTGATTTAAGGACAGAAATGACGTCATTGATGAGGTGGAGCAGTGATTTACGGGACAGTGCGAAGGTCCTACAATGACCGCCTGAGGCAGCTCAAGAAACGATGCAATAAGTTTGCGGTCGTGTGTGGTGACTTGCGAAGGAGTAATGAATATCATGTAAAAAAAAAATCAAATTTCTATCACATCTGATTCATGGTAATGATCAGAATTTTTCGATACCCCCTCGTAGGTGAACAGCAAATTCGATAGTTTTTCTTGAATGGTGAAATGTGAGACTGATATGGGTAGCAGTTCAGTGTCGGTCATTGCAGGAGAAGCTTAAATCAACCTTAATCTGGCTTGGGAGAGGAAGGTTTTAGCAAGATACCTATAAGAAACAGGTAGATCCGATGTTTGAAAGTAAAGCCCCAGTCACAAATTTGACGCACCTGTGACATTTCCTGTCACCCACGTGACTATTGTATTAACTTTTGTGTTTTGCGATGTTTTGACCTTATTTAAAGTACTGAAAGCTCAAAATGTATGATTAATGTTGTTTAAAGCAGCATATTAATAATTATGTTTGTAAATTATCGATAAGCTGCTTATAGCAGGTCACGTGATTGCTACCAGATTATGTGCTCAGAAAGCATCTTTTCAACTTCGATTTTGAACAATTTTTACCTCCTTTGAGGCCAAATGATGGACGGTTTGAGGCACACGATGAAATGCTGAATCTATTGATGCCAAAATTTGTTCGTTTTTTGCATCTTTAGACTAGCATATCCTGGCTCAAACTTTGACCAGTTTGTGTGTAAACCCTATGGTGAAGGGAAAACTTCACGCCCAGCAGACGTCATTACAGTGCTGCCAAATCGTGTTTGGTGGGGGTCGGGTTTTAGCGTCCAAAGGTGGTGGAATAGAGGTTTAAAAACTAGAAGCAGAACAGTTTGGCGACTGATTACGCTGAAACATCTAACGAAAGCTAACCAGAGGTCTAAAGAAGGTCAAAACAAGCAACATATTGCAATGCAGCGTCAGATCTTCACAATGTCGACCATCCAAAAAATAGGGAGAAAAATAAAGCAGTTTCGAGAAACTGAAATCCTATGAACCACCATTGGCATTCAATGGTATTGGCTGTTGACTTGGCACTGCCTTTGAAAAGAAAAATATGGCAATGCACCATACTACTACACATTGAAAACTTGCAAGTCATGTTTTCCTTTAGATTAGCTAAGTCATCTCCCAAGCACCGGCTGGTACTGTCGCGACTACGATGCAGCGAACACGCGCTGCATTGAAATGCCTTCAACACCGCGACAGCTGATAAGGTAAACATTGATAAGTTAGAAATTATGTAAGCAGCTGCTCGCCAGTTTTATATAACGTAACTACTAATTCGGATTCCACGCCGGCGCATGGTTGTACATGTGTCCTGTATCATATCGACATGCCGCATTCCATTTCGAAAATGCTCGTACTGAAAACGAAGACTGCAGTTGTTTGATATGCAATTATGCGCTAAATCGATAGACGCTGTAACATATATGGAACACTTCAGCTAAAACAGGTTATTGGGGGCACAATATGAGGCATGACAACGCACTTTAATGTCGAAACATTGACGAAATGTCAAAGTAACGTAAAAACCGGAAGCCATATGAGATGATAATCCACTGGGGCACAAAATCGTCAGTGATCATCGAGTTCATATTTGGGAAACGACTAGAACGAACGGAACGGCATAGTTGTTGTCGGATATTTACGATAAACTGAGCCGATGATGCGACGTTTCTCAACACTCACTTTGGGTTTTCGTGATTGAACGGCGAGTTGAACGACGAACTGTCCACCAGTTTGTCTTTCCATGTTTTGTAGTAATTGTACGACGTCTCCACTTGTTGTCCATCGGCCGTTTCCACTGTCCTGGGAAGATTGAAAAATGGATCAAAACATAGCAGGGCTATATGCGTATCTGTCGCATAAAATCGACATCACTTGATTGAAGCTAACAAAAATGTGAATACAAAGAAAAAACAATCCAATGTTTTTAAATATGCACCAGTTTTCTCTTATATTACCCTTTACAATCGACAGAAGACAATGGAAGAGAGCTTCCAGTCGTCTATGAACCAGCTCCAGCTCCACCAGCTCCACCCACCAGGGTTGTGCATTCGATGCCTCTGAAGCCCCTGCCCAGCTGACCGACCGACAGCTCTGACGCCTCTGACTGACCTGCTGTTCCACTCCTCCACCCACTACGGCTGCTCTGACGCCTCTGACCCACCTGCTGCTCTGTTCTTCCACCCACTGGTACATCTGGACGCGCCGCTTCAGCTTGACGGCGGCCACAGCCACGCCGTAGCGCGGCTCGGTCAGCGGTTGCGGCACCTCCAGCTGCGCCGTGAAGTGCACCAGGCGGCCGTCGTTCTCTGGCAGTGGCCGCTGCGGGGCGCTCAGCGGCACAGCGCTGCTCAGACCCTCCGACAGCGCCTTGGCGCGCTCCACCGCCCGACCCTGGCGTCACAGCCAGGTCAGAGGTCAGGAGTCTAATGAATTTAAAGTGCCACACCCAAAATGCCAGAATGTTAAGCCATGCACACCAAAATAATACTATAACACTAAACACAGTCAGCAATTTATTTTAGATGTTCAGAAAAAGTAAGAGGCTTTCAGACATCACATGGAGTGATTTACCTTCTCCACATGAAAAATAATACCAATTAATCTTCTCCATGACCTTCACAGGTATCATTTTTAACTGGGTAAGATGCCTAAAAATGTATCTTCAAAATCAATTAGATGAAGTTAACATAAAAATATTAGCAATATTTTGAATTCCATAGGACAGGAATGTGTTGCAAATAAACTGAGTCAAGTACCTCATTCCAAAACTGCAGTCCGATACCACCAAAGAAGATAGCTATCCCTACAAGAGATAGCACCATGCTGGCCTTGATGGATTCCCAAAATGACATTGGCTGTCTGGCCTGAGTCCTTGAGTGTAGGAGTGGCTCAGTATCATCTCTGGCAGCGCCTGTTTGCCTCTGCCGTAGCCCATCCTCATCCATCCTGAAATGAGGGCGAAGATAAGTGGTAAGGTTTCATCACTGTAACAGACTCCACCGACCAAAAATGTGAAAATGGGTTTGTCACATAGGGATGTGGCTATTAATTGTTAGAAACAGTACATGTGACATCATTGTCTAGGCTTGCACAAAATCACAAAACATTTGGTGCATATTTGTTCTCATTCATCCCACCTAAACGGTACCTATCAGTAATCAGTATTGTAGGTACAAGACGTAAATTGGCAATTAATTTGGCTGAGATCAAAAGCCTTTGAATTGCCAATTGGCGATTGGCAAGCTCCCCCACAATGCAGCATCTAATGATGTCTTCCAGATCAGTCAATGGAAAAATGTAGAATAATAGGTATAAGTAAGCCTAGCATCCCAGGAAAATGCCAGATTGGGATGACTGAACTAGTACCATTGTAGGTTGTAGGTTTGTTTGTTTGTTTGTTGGGGGTTTGGGGCGCGCCGACTGCGAGGTCATTTTGCGCCCATAACAGAGGTTTTAAATACATCTTTACTCTTTAGTTACTTACTTATTTACGATTTATGCTTAGGAAAGGAAAGTAACGGGGAAGTTGGCTGCGCGGATAAAGGAAAATATGCTACCGTTATGGATCCAGCGCGAGTTGTCTGAGAGAAGATCTAAGAGAGTCACCGTGGGCGCAAGATGCCCGAGGTGGTGTGACCGCATCCCGGCAAGCCGGCGGCATGTCAGCAGCACATGGGCCACTGAGAGTTGCTCCCCACAGTGGATGCAGTTCGGTCTATCTTCACCGCGCAGCAGATAGCCGTGAGTAGCGAACGTATGCCCAATGCGGAGCCTGCAAAGGGCAACCTCCTCTTTTCTGCTCCTGCGCGAGCTGGATTCCCACCGACTTAGAGCCGGCTTGATCTCCCTGAGCTTACTGCTCAGCTGTGCCTCCCATGTCTGCTGCTACTGGGAATGCAAAAAGCGACTGACGGCGTGGAAAAGATCCCGCGCCGGCAGAGGAAAACGGCGAGTGCACAGAGCTGACATAGCACGCCTCGCGGCAGCATCGGCCAGTTCATTGCCAGTGATGCCCACGTGGCTCGGTATCCAGCATAACTGAACTGACTTTCCAGCCTGCTGCAATGAGGTAAGACGGAGTAAAATATCCTGTACAAGGGGATGACTTGGATACAAGCTCCGTAAGGCCAAAAGGCTGCTCATGGATTTACACCTCAAAATGAGGTGTAAATCCTCTTCACACACTTCGATAAAACAGAGAGCCTTCAAAATCGCAACCAGTTCCGTCGTAAAGACGGAGGCGTCAGATGGCAGTGAAAACGAGCGAGTGGCTCCACTCGCGACAAACGCACAGCAGGCGCCTTTGCTAGACATGGAACCATCCGTAAAAGTCAGGGAGTAACCTTCGTAGGACGCTAAAAGCTCCAATGCTCGGGAACGAGACTCCAAGGGGCAATCTCGCTTTTCCTGACGTCGGCCAAGGAGAGGTTGACCCGTGGTCGGATGAGCTGCCATGGCAGTGATGGCAAAGGTACCTAGGTTTGTAGATTTTAGGTTGTAGGTAAGGTTAGGTCAGGCTAGGTTAGGTTTGTTTTGGTCTATATATCTCGATCGTCCCAACCTTGACCTGGCATCTTCCTCGGACGCCAGGCTTACTACAGTGGAATCCGCTTAGTAAATCCTCGGATAATAAATCCAGTCGCTTACTGTGGCCGCTTAAGGTGTTCACGGATTTTCTCCATAGATGCCCATAGTTAATAAATCCACTTAATAAATCCAGGTACTCCGCATAATAAAGCCACTTGCAAGTTTCGCAGTCCGCAGTGACGTCTTCCCCATCGAAATGTGGCATCCAACACGCTCCCTTTGAACCGCACTGGAGCAGCGGTCTGCAGCAGTTGGACTTCCCACAACAAAGGGTCGGGAGCTCAGAGCTTCAAGAGCGTCATCACCATGCACCTCAGAGAAATGTTCCCGGCAAAGCAGGCACGCTCGACAGTTTCGTTGGCATAGACAGGATGACGGGAGGGACACGGGTGACGGGACGGGACAGGCTGGCATGACGGTAGAGTGATCGTGGATGGATATGTTGACATGATCGCTGTGACAGCTTTGCAGTGTGCCCTGGTCACTTTCAGGGGCTCCACCAGTCTCAGGTTTGAGGGGATGTGCAACCCTAAAACGCACACCTTTACACATTGGGTTGCATTACGAAAGTCAACTTATTGGTGGTCCGGACCCCTACGACCCCACCGGTGGCAGAGCCCCTGGTCACTATTGGAATAAATAAGGCAATGAGGAATGTCAGCCTATCCGCTTGTATTGAAAGAGGAACAAACGTGCAGCTGCGATACATACTTTTTTAGTGAAAATAACTGACTCCAGTTAATGAAGCCACCGCTTAATAAATCCAAAACCCCTTGTCACCAAGGTGGATTTATTAAGTGGATTCCACTGTAATACCAAATAATACTCATGTTTTCTAAGCAGCTAAGCTTACTGGCATGCCAATATCATATCTTTGCAAGGGAACTCACAATATTATTTTGATTTGTTATGTCCATGTAAGCGAACTACACAGGGTAGTAGTAAAGCAGGCTTCACACTTCTTTTTGCAACCAAGGAGAGGTGCTGTAGGTTATGTTGTAGGTTGTAGGTTTTAGGTGGTACTGGTAGGTTTTAGGTTTTAGGTTGTAGGTTTTAGGTTGTAGGTTTTAGGTTGTAGGAAAGGTTAGGTCAGGTTTGGTTAGGTTTGGTTTGGTTTGATTAGAGAGCATCTCTGTGTATAGTGCCTCTCCTTGGTTGGAAAAGAAGTGTGACGCCTGCTTTACGACTACCCTACACAGTAGGTATGCATTAGATTTAGGTCACAGCATAATTCAGCCCCCCACACAACAGGCCACAGGAAAAAGCTCAAATTATTGAGCACTCAAAATACTGAGCATGCGACGTCAGATGCCGCCATAGCCGTAATGGTGAGCGGCGAGCGCTAAAAAAATTGAGCCGTTTCAGGAACACGTTTTACAAAATCAATTCCCAACACCTAGGGAGAAATGGCAAATGAATTGCATTGAATGATGCATTGTTACTTTGAGCTAGCTACATGACTAGACTATATCATAGTGAAATGTGCATAGGCACAGACTTACATACCTGTTTCTCTGTAAAATACCTATCTCAGAGTCAGAGAACGGCCAAAATGAAAAGTAGGGACAGCGACCGCGGGCAAAGCGGCGTGATCTTCGGTTATCTTCGTTCTAGTACAGTGTTGGTGAGGTCCAGTCTTCTTTGGTAATCTGGGATCTATCTATTGCATAATTTGATCTACACCATTGCATAATTTGGACTGCTTTGGACTATTTGAATAAATCGATTAAATCCAATGAAATGCGACTAAGTTGTAATATTTTTCCAGTCTGACGAAAATAAACGTAACGTCGCAGCCGCGCAGGATATGTAGCAGATATAACTGCCATATAAAGGAATGAGAAGAGGAATATACCAAAATACCTCCGGGAGGTTAGCTTCAACATGCACTGGGTCGCTCTATTGCACTGAACTCTATAATGCTCTATTACTCTATAATGAACTCTATAATACTCTATAATACTCTATTACTCTATTGGCATGACGGGTCGCGTTATCTGTGTCTTGAGTCTTCAGTATGGCTTCAACGCCTACCTCGCCAACGCCAAAAGATGGAATAATCGTATTGGCTCATACTGTACAAACATACCTACAAGCAGGCCTGTGCTTGACTCATGAGTCGAGTCAGAAATTTGACTCAACTCTGACTCAAATGAGTCAGATTTGAGTCGAGTCGGATACAATGTTGAGCTGTTGAGTTGAGTCAGAGTTGAGTCGGACAAAAATATTAGGGCGTTGAGTTGAGTCAGAGTTGAGTCAGTAAAATAGCTTTTGACATTGAGCTGAATCAAACATTTAGGAACATGAGTCAGCTGACTCATTTTTCTAGAAACTATATATATATATATATATATATATATATATATCCCAGTAAACGTCATGACGACGTCGGCCCGACGTCGGGTCGAGGCTCGGCCCGACGTCGGCCCAACGTCGGTTCAACCTCGGCCCGACATCGGCTGCACGTCGGATATGCCCGCATGTTCCGACGTCCAGCCGAAGTCCAGCCGACTTCGAGCCGACGTCGGGCCGAGATCGTTTGCCGAGGTTGACGAGATCGTTTGTCGTTGGACCGACGGGGCCGACGTCGGCATGTTTATTGGGACAACGCGCCAAAAATATCAACCGGCGGCGGGATTCGAGCCCCCCAGTCGCCGACGTCGGCATGTTTACTGGGACAACACGCCAAAAGCGTCAGCCGGCGATGGGATTCGAACCCAGTGTCATTCGAACGCGAGGTTAACACGCGCAGTGGAACGGTTGCGAGTACTACGCCCAGTGGAAGGGGGGGCGGATGTCGCCCCCCCCCCCTAAGATCTCAGCTCCCACTGGAGCTAGAAAGACGAAATTTGGAGGGTAGGTGGGGGCCATGGGGAACTCTGTTGTGTGTGAATTTCATGACCCTAGGTCAATATCTTCAAGGTCAAATGAGGTCAAATGTGGTCAAATCTGCCATATTAGCGACTTTTTTGCGTTTACACGCCGATAACTCAAAAAGTTTCCGGCCGATTTTTTTAAATCTTTCACTATACGAAAGAACAAACATTTGTGAGTATGTATGGTGAATTTCTAGATAATCCAACAATAAATATGGCAGTTAGAAGCCTGCGAAGGGTAAGATGTCGCCGGCTGAGGCGGCATCGGCCGACGCGGGAAACGCGGCAATCACAATTTTGTGTTTACACACTCATAACTCAAGTTGTTACGGGCCGATTTTCAAAATTCTTGGACCATATGATTGCCTGTACATTTCTCAGTCTTCTCACCGAATTTGACGCGAATCTAATATAATCAGCGGTAAGGAGCGCGATGTAAAGACTGAACCGTCCCGCCCCGGCACAGTCTACAATTCAGGCGGCGCGTAACGGCTAGCGCCGGCCGCCGCGCCGCCGCGCCGCCGCGGCGGCAGGATGTTTGACTTTACACCGCTATTACTAGAAAAGTTGTGAACCGATTTTCTTACTTCTTGCATGAGAAGATCCGCAATTCAATTCTGGACAGGTAGCCGAAATTTCACATTGATATTATGCTTGCGGCGCGAGTTATTGGCGAAAAACAGGAGGGGTGGGCGAAATCCGCCCCCCCTTCCACTGCGCGTGTTAATGCGCTAACCACTGCACCACGCAGCCAGCTAACGGATTTGGTTTGTTTTGTTGGGTTATGCCCTTTCGGTCTGACAAGACCATTTCAGAGCCGGAAGTTTCATAGGATGGAGACATTGGTCTTCTTGGCGAGCACCCTGGGTCCAGTTCATATAGAGTCCCTGGTCCCATTGCTGTTACGTGACACTTATTGGAAAGGGCGACCCCACAATGGATTCATATAGCCACTCTTACACACCTGCACCAACGTTTCCCAAAGTATCCCTTTGATAAGTGGCACTTTGGCAAAGTGACACTTGCCGACTGGCCTTTCTATATGAACTGGGCCCGGCCCTGGTGAGTTGCCGGGGCTGAGCCTGACCAAAGGATAGCTGCCGAGCAGCCCCCAAGCACTCACCGCACCCGGCTACGGGCGAGCTCGGCTTACGGCAAGTTTCCCGTCCAGTCCGGATCAGGGGGCTGCGGCGTGGAGGAAGATTTGAGTTTCCTGAGGATATTTTGAATACAGAAGCTCTTTATGAAACATGGAACATGTATTTTATATTATTTTAACGGCCAAAACAGCGGCCGATGTCGGTCCGACGTCGCCCCGACGTCGGCCCGACGTCGGCTGGACCTCAGCAATTGATCTCGGTCCGACGTCGGCCCGACGTCGGCTGGACCTCGGCTGGACGTCGGAACATGCGGGCATATCCGACATCCAGCCGACGTCGTGCCGAGGTTGGACCGACGTCGGGCCGACGTCGGCATGCCGATGCCGAGTTGCCGACGTCACCCCGACGTCGGCCGACGTCGGGCCGGCGTCGGCATGTTTACTGGGATATATATATATATATATATATATATATATATATATATATATATATATATAAGCTTTTCATACCCCCCGCTTAACAACTTATCCCTGGCTCTGCTGCCGGATTTTTTTCACCCCCCCCCCCCCTCGCTCAACAACTTTTTTATCTGAGTCAATTTTGAGTCAACTCACTTGACTCAACAAAAAATTTGAGTCAAGTTTGAGTCGACTCATATTTTCATTGAGCCGCTTGAGTCATGAGTCGAGTCAAGGGAAAAAATCAGCTCCTTGTTTGAGTCAGAGTTGAGTCAGGGCTTTCTGAAGTTGAATGATGAGTCGAGTCGGCAAATTTTTTTGAGTCGAGTACAACCCTGCCTACAAGCATATCTACTGGCTGCTGTTATATTATTTTTACCACTAATTTATTTACGACTCAACTGCTACTCGGCCCGGGCCCGCTAGTAGAGTAGACGTTTGATATTTTTTCATTGGCTATTTCATGACTTTGGCTATGCTGGATCCTAATTTACCCTGGGGACCGTTAACCCGCGCCCCGCTGGGGTCCTGGATTTCCACGCCCTGTTCGGGGAGGGTTTGAACAGTTGAACAATGAACACCCCTCTTCTAACTCGGCTCCTGGGTCTATAGATGGCCAGTGGCCTTGTCCTGGGCAACGTAGCGACGCGCCATAGGCGGCCCGCGGCGTTCGAAAGAGCGTCAAAAAATAATGAGGAAATTATTTCAGTCACTTTTTAACCCGAGCCCAGTTGGACCTCTCAAGTCTCAGCCAACTTTGCCATGACGTGGGGGGGGGGGGGCGGGGGCCTTTTTGGCCACACCAGATTATCTCGGAAATCAAGCAAGCTAGAAAGACGCGGTAAAAAGCAATAGTTAGCTGGCTACAATGATTTTCAGAATAATCTAGGCCATTTTTTGATCAGGTCATCGCGGAGGTAACTGCAGCCTGCAGATCACCAAAGGTAAAATTTTCACGAACTTTTGTTCCCGATTTTGACAACTTTTCACAAATCGGCTTATAAGTCGGGAAACAATAGAGCTACAGCGCTGCAGAAAAACAGACTCAATAGCTCTTTCAAAGGCCGTTCTGAGTAATGTTCTCAGATTTCACCTAAGGTCAACGGTTTAGCCTCCAGAGGGCAAAAACAATTTTTGAGGCAGAGGCAAATCAAAATTTGACGTTTTTTCAAGGTTTTTGTATCATAACTTTTGAATCCAAGCTTGTATGACGCTGATTTTACCGGCATCGCATTTGTCTCGTCGAGACGCGTCGAATGAACTATTAGTTGACCTGAATAGGTCAACTTAAAAATTTGACCTCAGGTCAAGGTCACGGATCAAGGTTGCATGTCATTCGATTCGTATTGTTGAGCTGAACACATTCATGGTATTTTCAGCGCCTAAGATGTTTCTATCTAAAGTTATGGTAAAAAACTATTGGAGACGTTTCATGACCTGAGTCCTGAGATGAGATGACCTCAGGGGCACAAAAGGGGTCACAGGTGAAGTTTTCAGCTTCAGCGTGTCATGTTTACCTGTGTCACGATGTTTAAGGGTGTTTTTTTGGCAAAAGAAGAACATTCCAATTTTCTCCGATTGAAGTATAATGGAGAGGTCGCAAAATTAACCTGACCTTAGGTCACCGATATAAGAATTCCGAGATACCCATACGAATTGTTCATGCTGATTTCCTCATGCAAAAGCCCGAGTTTCAAACTTCTGGTAGATAAAATTTAGGAATGACAATCACAAAGTTTTTAGAGGTATGGTTACTTAACTTGACCTGGTGACCTTACCTTATGTGACATGGGGTCAACACTTTAAGACACGATGCGAAATTGATGTATAATAAGCTATACCAAGTTTCGGCGGCGCTGCACGCCGCAGTTTTCCATACTGCACGCACAAAAACTGGCAGGTGTGGCCAAAACCACGGCGCTACGTCCTACTTCCTACACCACGTGTACGTTGAACATCCGACTTCTGCCCATATTTTCGATTCGTTTTTATTGGAATGTGGAGTCCAATGGATGAACGACCCAGGTTCATCCAGAATAGATAATCAGCCGGGTCAGCATAATCATTTTGACTGATAACAACCCTTGCCCATACATAGTGTCACAAACACCCAACCAGCCTCAGTCCAAAACTAAAACACAGATCACTCGGTACCACAGACGGTATATTTCACATTGCGTCAGTATCGTCGCATAAAGACACTCTCCAACGCCCCGCCATTTCGTCCTTCAGCCGTGCGCGGCCGGCCCCCGCCGCTGGCGGTCGAACCCGGACCGGCGCCCACTGCATGCAGCGCGCCTACAGCTCCTTGTCGAAGAGGTACTCGCCCAGATTCGGCTGCGAGGCGACCATCCTGGCCAGCTTGGTGATGTGTCCGGAGAACTCGCGACTGCCCTTGTGCTGTTCGTCCAGCATGTCAGCCGTCAGCCAGTCGGCGGCCTGGCGCACAGAGACGAGAGACGAGAGCGGTGTGAATTTATAAGTGGTGTTTGGGATGGGGACAAGGATAAGGATGACTGGGAGAAGGATGAGGATGTAGAGTGGGTCAAGGATGGGTGTGTAGAAGGATTCAGGCCCGCCTACTGGCTGTTGTGGTAGCTTCTGCTAATATTCCTCGTGTGTCTAGGGGTATACTAATCTGTCATCTGCACAATCCTACTCATCGTTGTCTAGGGGTATCGTCTTAACACTCAACAATCCTTTAGCCGTTGTCTAGGGGTATTCTGATCGACCAAAAACCATGTGTCCCACAAACCCGTTCGTGTCCGAATCATCATATTGCCAGCGTTTCCACAATCATTTCCAACCTCGAGAAAGAACGTAGAAGGTATACATATTAAATATGTATTGTAATTGAAAAGGCCGAAATAAATAAAAGCGAACAATTCAAACAAAAGTGCCAGAAAACGAGCAATGTCACGGTAACCGTGCACTGCTCAAGTACCTAAATATAGCCAAAGTGCCGAAACAATCAAGAAAACCGAAACAATGACCAAGCCAAATCATGACACCGATTCGATATTGCCAGAGGGATGGAACTGACTCATATAGTAGCCAAATAAGTCAACCGGAAGAGCCGAAATGGAATGAGTCAAGTCCCAAGGACCGTGTCTCACAGTCGCGACTCATAGTGACATGTAAACCAACCTGTCGCTCTTAATTCTAGTCACAGTACCGCGGCCAAATCCTAAAGTACTGTTACCCACGCCATGGTGTGTGTATATGTGCGTGTCTGTGCCTGAGACATATCTCCGACCACAGCCGAGACTTGATCCGAAGTCAGGCTCAAACCCCCTCGCTCCCCGGCCAGCTAGCCAGGGACGCGACTAGGGCAGTGCAAGAATTCAGTCCAGAGACCTCCGACTGGGTGGAAGATAGGCCCCAGGTACTTACATTGTGAGAGGAGTGTCGAGTCGTCCACCGCGAGCGGCGTCAGCACCACCAATGAGCGAGAGCTCCCAAGAGAAAGGAAGTGAAAGGAAGTGAAGCCCCGAACTCCCGAACACACGCTTTTTATATGACTCGGTCACGGCCAACCTCGCCTTCTCCCCAGCCCTCCGTCGGGAGGAGGAGCTACACGGCACCGCCATCTTGTCGTCGACGAGCAGACCAGGGGCCGGGTAGCCTCAGGCCCTTAGCAGCCCAGCCCCGACGCAGTTCCCACCCCGGGCGCGCCTCGTGACGTCACGCGCCCCACCGCTCGGGCCGGGCGGCACACTCCTGCCTCGGGCACCGTCGTCCGGCCGCCGTGTTCTCTTGGCCTTGGTTCGCGCTGTCTTCTGTGGTCGACTGGTCCAGAGGTGCAGCTCCGTCGTGCCGTGTCTATGCCTCCGGCGTCGCCGTCAGGCCGGCGCAACCTTGGCCGCGCGTTCCGAGTCCGGGCGGCCCCGCTGCTCCGAGTGGCGATGTGAGGACGGCCGGCCACGAAGTTTTCCACACTTAATTCATAGGGAATGGAGAACAGATTAGTTCGCCGATCAACTACCACCACCAGTCATGTTACGCTTTCGTAGATAACACGTCATTCATTCCAGTTATAGATATTCCTAAAACAGCTCGTAGAACTCGCTAAAAAGTCTATCTAATATCTAATCACTATCACACCGTTTTACCTATAATATCTTTACCAACGCTGTAAAGATGGACGACCTTTTACCTTTTGCCTTCACATTTCCACCAGGTCTTGCTAGACCCGATCGGCAACACTGCACGGTATCCCGTCACTGTTACGTCTCCATCGCAAGATATGCACGATATGTCACCCCTGTCGCGCCTCCATCGCGACTTGCGAAAGGTTTACCAGATACCACCTGTCCGTTGATACTGTCCACTGCATTTTGAACACCTGACTGGATGTCAGTTAACATGGACGAAACTGACAGAAGTTGAGAGATGATTGAATTAGACGATGTTACCGTTGGAAGGTGGCGCTTAATCATTGCCACACCCGACGCCTGAGCTGATGCACCCAGCATATGTAGATCCGGACTGGTCGTAATCGATGACGGACCACCATTGCACCGTCCATCTCCTTCCAGGGTGAAGAGCAAAACCTGAGCGCATCTCCGGCTGGTCGCCCATTGATTCGAGCGTCACGGCTCGACTCCAACGTTCATTGCCTGCATGTCATTGCAGAATGCAGGGCTCCGTGCGCCTGTGCTAGTACTGTGAATAGGAGTAAAGTCACCCTTCCCCGATCCCCACGTCTCATAATTCTACCAAATTTATTGCAAGCTGCGGTACTTTTATAAGTATGTAGAATTAAGTCTAAAATCGCTCCAAAGATAACGTCAAATCATTATTTGTTCCACAAGGTTACGACAAACGCACTAAAAGCATTCATGGCGTCGCCGCGCTGGCACGCTTACATAATAGCCTCATATTTAGGACACGGCGTCCTTCAGAGCAGAGCCTGCCGGGCGTCGGCTGTCCCGAGCCGCGCGCGCCATAATGTATGCATGGAGAGAGAGAGAGAGAGAGAGAGAGAGAGAGAGAGAGAGAGAGAGAGAGAGAGAGAGAGAGAGAGAGAGAGAGAGAGAGAGAGAGAGACTTTATGGGATAGCAGTCGCTGGTTGAGTTGATCTCGCCGACCTTTGGTCCGACTATCTCTGCAAACGCCCATGCCAACAGACCAGCGGTTATGACATTCAGTAGCGGTCACTGGGTAAATTGGGTTGCCAGTCCATCGATAATTATAAAGTGTTCATCCACAACAAGACGTGTACTAGGAAAATTTGGACATTAAAAAACCTCTCGAGACCTCAAAATATTTCACCGTATATTTCACCGTACTAAAGCCCAAAACCGTCCGGTTATTGCTAACGACATTGGTCTGTCCTCATGACTATTCAATGTCGTGCCCACTGGATCGCAACGCACTTGATCGTTCCTAACATTTTTTGTTTCGAATTCTGTAAAAAAAAATGTTCAAAAGGTATTTCACCTGGTTCCGAACACCTAGCAAGTTACGCCAAACCAGTTGAAAATATAATCCAGCTCAGTAGCCAGATCGTCAAAGATGCACACAAAAGATGCACCCTCGCCCAAAATGCACCGAACTGTGCACGTTCTTTCTCACTCTCTCCTCGCCCTATATATCCCTATAGGACTTAAGCGACCTGGTGGTCACCGGTCCCTGTGGACCTCCAGCGTGACCGCTGCATGAACTGACGCAAGCGTAGAGGGGGATTCTTCCCAGACAAGCTGTCCGCGGACTCGCTGTCGTCTCTAGCTTTTTGCATTATCTTCCCCATCCTCTTACCCGCAGGAAGATACCTCAGACTTCGAATCGTCTCCCACAGACCAATTCGATCGCACACCTCCACCCTCTCCCAAGGGTTTTCATGACCTCTTGACACCACTGTCAAGCAGATGGCCACGAGCCTGTCCTCGACAAGAGAATCGTCTCTGAGTCGAAATTTGCCATTGGCGTCGCCGCCGCGAGCGAAACCTTCCGAATGGTCGGCTTCGGGCACGGATTATAATACATGGGTGTAACTTTGTATACTTTCGAGGTCCCATGTGGGACCCCAATGCGAACATTTGGGACCCCAATTGTCATTTTGGGACCCCAATAGTGGAGGCCCCCCGAGACGCACCAGCTACTTTACAAATGGAGGTCCGATATTCATATAGAAGGTTCTCTGTATAAATAGGAGGCCCCTTGGATAAATAGGAGGTCCTGTTGGACAGATGGGAGGCCCCCTGGACAAATAGGAGGCCCCCTGAACAAGTAGGAGGCCCCCTGAACAAGTAGGAGGCCCCCTGAACAAGTAGGAGGCCCCCCGGAAAACAGGAGGCCCCCTGGAGAAATAGGAGGCTCTCTGGACAAGCAGGAGGCCTCCTGGACAAATAGGAGGCCCTAGACAAATAAGAGGCCCCTAGACAAATAGGAGGCCCCATGGACAAATAGGAGGCCCTCTGTACAAATAAGAAGCCCTCTGTACAAATAAAAAGCCCCCTGAACAAATAGGAGGCCCCCTGGACAAGTAAGAGGCCCTCTGTACAAATAGGAGGCCCCTGCAAAAATAGGAGGCCCCTGGACAAATAGGAGGCCCTAGACCTAGAAAAACAGGAGGCCCCTTTCACAAAAGGAGCCCTGGACAAACCTTTTACAAAAGGAGGCCCTCTGGAAAATTAGGAGGCCCCCTGGACAAATAGGAGGCCCCATGGACGAATAGAAGGCCCCTGGATAAATAGGAGGCCCCCTGAACAAGAAGGAGGCCCCCTGGATAAAGAGGAGGCCCCCTAAAAATAGGAGCCCTCTGGATAATAGGAGGCCGCTTGGAGAATAAGAGGCTTCTTTAACCAAAAGGAGGCCCCCTGGGCAAATAGGAGGCCCCCTGAACAAGTAGGAGGCCCGCTGGACAAATAGGACAAATAGGAGGCCCGCTGGACAAATAAGAGGCCTCTTGGACAAATAGGAGGCCCCCTAGAAAAATAGCAGGCCCCTTGAACAAATAGGAGGCCCCCTGGACAAATAGGAGGCCCCCTGTACAAATAGGGGACCTCTTGAACAAAAAGGAGGCCCCATGGACAAGTAGGAGCTAGAGGCCCTCTGTACGAATAGGAGGCCCCCTGGACAAATAGAAGGCTCCCTAAACAAAAAGGAGGCCCTTCAAAAAGGAGGCCCCTGGACAAGTAGGAGACCCCTGGACAAATAGGAGGCCCCTGCACAAATATGAGACCCCTGGTCAAATAAAAAACCCTGGATAAATAAGAGGCCCCTGGACAAATAGGAGGCCCTGAACACGTAGGAGGCCCCCTGGATAAAGAGGAAGCCCCTGGAAAATAGAAGCCCCCTGGATAAATAGGGGACCTTCTGGAGAAACAGGAGGCCTCCTGGACAAATAGGAGGCCCCCTAGACGAATAGGAGGCCGCTTGGACAAATAGGAGGCGCCATTAACCAATAGGAGGCCCCCTAGACAAATAGGAGGCCCTCTGTAACAGTAGGAGGTTCTCTGTACGTACAAATAGGAGACCGGCGCTCGACCTGTAGAAGCTTAGCTGTATGTACAAAAAGGAGGCTCTCTATGCAGGTAGTCGAAGTAGGAGGCTCTCTGTACTGTACCTACAAATAAGAGGCCCCCTGGGCAACTTAGATGCTACACAAATCGGAAGTCACCTATAAAAAAGCGGGACTCTGTTGGAGTACCTGTTTGAATAAATTATTTTCCTGATATTCAAATTACTTAATCCTCGCCCGCACATGGGGGGGGGGGGCAGTGGTTGCCACCCCCCCCCCCCTTCCAGGTAGTTTTTTCTGCTCTGCACTCAACATTTTGATTGCTAGAAGCCGGATGTTTCGTACAGCTGCTTCTCTATCCTTTCTTAGCGTCCACTAAAAATTTCAAGTTTCTGTGGTTTTTGGTTTCGGAGATATTGATATGACCTTATTCTTCAGGTGATGTCATAGCCCAAATGACAAATACCCAATATCTTGCGTTGGCTATGGGTCTTGTGAGCTTTTGACACTTTAATTTCGGCCTTTTTTGCCAGTCTTACCTCCCACCTATCATGGAACATGATGTTCGATGATGTAGAGATGCCAGGGTCAGGGTCAAGGTCAACCTAGGTCGTCTAAAAATATTGCGTTTTAGGCAAGCTGAATGTATTTTTGGTAAAAGCTTCTCAGTTCATGATCTCATGTAATATGGACACATTCACAATCGGTGCACACATCAGTATACACACAGACACGCACAGACATACAAACACATATTGTAACTGATTGTATATATATCAACGCTCGACCACAACTGCGGCACATCCACTCCCGGCCGTCCCACGACTCCCACTGCCGGCCAGGCCCCGCCCACTTCCACACCTGGCGGGCGGCGGCTGCGCTACGGGTAGGAGCCGACGCGCGAGACGGATCACGGCCCGCTAACCCGTAAATAACACTATACGGGCCAAAGCCCGCTGAACCATGGCTCACACATCACACACACATCACACACTCCCCCCTGACTTTCAAGTCATACATGTCAGCAGCACTCAGAGTAGCGGAGATTCGGCCTACGGATCCGTCCAGACATTCTCGGGCGCGGCGGCTCGAACACGTCTCCCTCGCCATCGCTATGTACATTATCCCCATCGGCACCTGGCATGTCACGCTCGTCCCTCTCACCGCGCCCATCACGCTCGTCCCCTCCTGCAGTTCGGGGCCAAATCAGCATTAACGGCTCACCATCACTCTCGTCACTCTCCGCGTCACCCGTGCCGCACTCTGAGCGTGAACGGCGGCGTAGTTCTCGGACGTGTCTCGGCACCCCATCCACTTCGACACACTGGTCGGAGATGACACGAGTCACCTCTCCTCTCCCGTACCTCGTGTCACAGCGAGCACGAGGCGGTCGGACCCACACACTGTCCCCGGGGCGATACAGCGAGCGGCCACGTCCCTCCCCGTCAGACGTTTCACACACACGGGGCACCGGCGTCGCCTGGTCTTCGAGACCTTGTACGCGCAGCTCATATCGGTACAGCAAATTTGCCGGTGCAGAGTCGGCTGTCTGGTCATTCAGCGGGGTAACATTGTATCTGTATACTGCCTCAGCTACAGTACAGTTTTTCCGAGCAGCGATCACTTTAATGCTACGATGGCATCTCTCGATCACGCCGTTTCCTGACGCCACATGCGCACAGCGGAAGCGGAGCTGTACCGCCCAGTTTGTCACAAAGGCATGAAACCTTCGGCTGCGGAACGCGGGGTCATTGTCGGCCAGCAGCTCTCTCGGCGCCCCTCTTTCCAAAAATACTGAGGTCAGCTGCTCGACCACTGCAGAGCTCGTCTGCAGCCTCAACGGGCGCCATATGGAGAACCGGCTCGGGCCGCAGTCTATCAAGGTCAGATATGCCCTGCCCCGCACATGGGTCACGTCCATCGCCACTCTGTCCCACACCCGTTCCACACTCAGGTCCCCTTTCCGCCACTTCACAGCCGCAGGGTCAATAGAACGGCAGAGTTCACAGTCAGACACTACACTCCTAACCAGACTCTTTGCGACTCCCGGCAGCACTCGTCTCGCAAAATAAAATGTCCTCCGGACGCCCGGGTGTCCGGCCGTGTGGTGAATCTCACTGATCTTTCTCCGTGTCGAGTCGCCGTTCTCGCCTGTAGATTGACTCGCCGCGGCCGAGCCAGCGGTGGCGGCCGCCGGCGTCTCGCTGCTCGCCGCTCCGGTCTCGCCGGGCGCGGCCGGCGGCTCAGCCGACCTGTCCGCCGCCGGGCCGGCGCTGGCAGAGCCGGGGAGATTTCTGTCTGCCGCGCTGCCGGCCAGCTGTCGCCGGCCGCCGGTGGCCGGGTCCGCCGACACGGCGGCTGCGATACTGCGCGCCGCGGTCACATCGGGGAGCGACCCTGCAGCGTCTCGCTCGCGCAGCCACTTCCCAGGCACCCGGGTCAGTGCGTCGGCTTTGTTGGCTGCTGAGGGCGCACACCTGATGCGAATGCTCAGGCCGTACTCATCCTTCAAGGCTTTGAGAGTTGATAGCCGTCTTCTGATGAGCATTTCTGACGCCGCCTTGGACCTGAGACGCGCCCTGCCACTGAGCGCGTCTGACACCCACTGCCACACTGTGCGCGAGTCTGTGACAATGTCCATATCAGTGACTCGCCACTGAAGGGCCAAGTTCACGCCCTTTAGAACCGCGTCCAGTTCGGCGAGATTAATGTGAGCCGCGTCGTCTGCCCGGCGCAGCCAGCTGGCGTCTTCCACCGTCTCACCGTCCACCTCGACAGTCACACCGAGTGCCAGTGAGCTCGCGTCGGTGTATATTGTCATTGTGTCGCCGCTCACGTTCCAGCGCCCCCTGGCTGGGTCGGCGGCGTTCACGCTGGCCACCAGCTCCTCAACCAGCTGCGGCACGAGACCCCCTTCAATGGGGTCATCCCAGCGGCTCGCCGTTTCATTCGCCAGTCGTTTGACGAACGACGCGGCCGGGCGGAGCCAGCCACACACCGGGTAATGGCTTGTCAGCTGCCCGCAGATGGAAAACACCTTGCGCTTCGTCAGCGGCTTCGGCACGTTCTTGACATCGTTGTCTCGGCCCCACCGCAAGTCTCCATCGGGCTCTCCCCAGACTCTCAGCCCGAGGATGCGGGTGCCGTCGCTCGCTCGCTGTGGAGCTTTGCTCTCCAGCCCGTAGATTTGGAGGTGTTCGGCGACCTGGGTGGCAGGCAGTTTGTCCTCGTTTACCAGGATGTCGTCCACATAGGTGGAGACGGCCGCCGCAACCCGCGGGTCCTGAGCCACGGTCAGGTCCAGCACCGCCTGCATCACCGACGAGGCGACGCTGATGCCGAACCCCATCCTGGTCAGCGCGTATCTCCTGCCCCTGAACCAGACAGTCTGGTATGGCCAAAGGGCCTTCTCGACGTGAACTTGAAGGAAAGCCTTTTTCAGGTCCAGGAGCGCCACGGACGCTCCCATCTGGCGCCACCGGCGTAGCCGCTCTGCACAAACATCCGCGTCACCAGTGAAGGCTGGCACGTGCTTGTTCAGAGATCGAAAGTCCATCACAGGCCTCACTTTTGTCCACTGCATGACCGCCATCAGCGGTATCGAGCCCATGGCCGGACCCAGCTCTTCCTCGTCATATTCACTTAGCCAGCCGTCTCTGATCCAGTTCTCCAGCTCAGCTTCGTACTCGGCGCGTGCCTCCTCCGGCACCGGATACTCGTCCACCGCGCCGCCCAGCTCACCCGGCGCTCTGCCGCCAGCCCACTTCCACGACATCACCCACCGCCGCCGGGTCGGGTCGAACGTCACCACAAAGTCTTCCTTCTCGATTCTCAATCCCGTCTCCTCGCCTGTGGCAGCACACGCCACCGACCGACGTCCGAACTGCACATCACTCACGCTCGAGCCGAATAACTCGCATCCGAACTGCACGTCAGAGGGCGAGCGCACGGTCACTCCCCCCAGCGACCGGATAGCGTCCATTCCCACGATCACCGCAAACCCGAGGGGCCTTTCCCTTATAACAAGGGCGCTCACCTCCACTGCGCGGCAGCCCGGCACCGCGAGCCGAACTTCAGCGGCGCCCTCGCACTGCAGCCGCTGGCCGTTCACTGTGATCACCTCTGCCGCGCTCCTCCGCCACTGGTGGCACACCGACTCGTGCACTAGGGTCCGAGTGCACCCAGAGTCGATCAGTGCCACACGTCGACACTGCGATCCTCCGATCTCCAGCTCCCTGGTTGGAAGCGCGCCGGTGAGGTAGCTCAGTCCCGAGAGGAGGCCGGCGCAGGCGCCTCCCCTCGCTCGCCGTTTGGGCAACGGGCAGCGATGTGCCCCCACACTCCACAGCCGTAGCATTGCAGGGCGGGGAGTCCACCCTCGCGTGCAGGGGCCGGCCGACCGCCGCGTCCCGGTGCTGGCTGTTGCTGACTCTTCCCGAGGTGTTCGGATCGGGGGCAATCCCGTGCGACGTGGCCGATTTCACCGCAGGAGAAGCACGGCCCCCGCCGCCTGGCGCCGCGGCCGCCGGGCGGCGCCACCTGCATCCGACGTGTGCCGGCCAACATGGCCGCCGCCTCAGATTCTTCACGGAGCACTGCACGAGCCCGGTCTGCGAGCTCGCCGAGAGACAGCGAGTCGACCCTGGCTCCAGCTTTCAGGACCTGTTTCACGGCGATCGGGAGGCCAGCCACAAAGGCGCAGGACAAGCCTTCCTCGCTCATTCCCCCAAAAAGGGCCGCGAGCTGCTGAAGTTCAGCCACGTAAACGTCCACTGATTCTCCGCCACGGAGCCTCCTGTCCATGAATCGCTCGTAGGCCGTAAATTTGTCAAGCGCGAAAGCCCTTTTAAGAGCGCTCTTGATCTTTTGTGGGTCCTTCCTGTCTTCCTCTGGCAGTTGGCGATACACAGACAGCGCGCCTCCCCTCAGTCTCAGTGGAATGACGACCTCTTGTCTCGTCTCCGTTTCTCCTGCGCGCTGGGAGAGCGTGCACACCATCTCGATCTTCTCTATCCACTCGAGAACGCACGCTCCGTCTGACCCATCGAACTCTGGGATTAATTTAACGTCAAAACTGGCCATATTGCCGAAATAGCTTGTAACTGATTGTATATATATCAACGCTCGACCACAACTGCGGCACATCCACTCCCGGCCGTCCCACGACTCCCACTGCCGGCCAGGCCCCGCCCACTTCCACACCTGGCGGGCGGCGGCTGCGCTACGGGTAGGAGCCGACGCGCGAGACGGATCACGGCCCGCTAACCCGTAAATAACACTATACGGGCCAAAGCCCGCTGAACCATGGCTCACACATCACACACACATCACACACATATCATTGACCTTGACCTAACCTTGACCTAACAGAAATGACCAAAGCCAGCAAAAACCTAGTCGGATAGTGTGACAAAGAGGTTCTAGCTGGCTTGGCACCACAATACGGCAGCGTCATCGGTATATGATGAGCAGCACACGTGATATTCCAACGGGCAACGGTGACCCTAAACAGCAACATTCTTTAGCAACATTTTGACCTGACCTGGAAGGTCAATGACTGACCTGATGAGATAAAATTTGGTATCATTGGATTCGTCTCTTCCCAAAGAATCTGTTGCTCTTGACCGCGAAGCTTAAAATATTGTAAGAAAAAATTGTGGTGATGTTGAATAAAATACCTACACAAGCAGCGGGCCAACCCATCATATACCGATGACGCTGCCGTATTAGTGCCAAGCCAGCTAGAACAGCTCTTTGTCACACTATCCGACTAATTTGCTGGCTGTGGTCATTTCATGTCAAGTTCGGTCAAGGTCAATGATATGTGTTTGTATGTCTGTGTATGTCTGTGTATGTACTGATGTGTGCACAGATTGGTTTGTGTGTCCCTATTACATGAGATCATGAACTGAGAAGCTTTTACTAAACATGCAGTCAAAGAAACTTCACGAAAAGTAAATTCAGCTTGCCTAAAACGCAATAATTTTAGATGACATAGGTTGACCTTGACCCTGACCCTGACATCTGTACATCGCAAAACAACATGTTCAATGATAGGTGGGAGGTAAGACTGGCAAAAAAAAAAACGAAATCAGGGTGTCAAAAGCTCCCATGAGGCCCATAGCCAACGCAAGATATTGGGTATTCGTTATTTAGGGCATGACATGACCTGAAGGACAAGGTCATATCTCCAAACCCAAAAGCCACAGAAACTTGAAATTTTCAATGGACGCTGAGAAAAGATAGAAAGCAGCTATACAAAAAAAAAACAGGTTTCTACCTTTAAAAATGTTCAGTGTAGAACAGAAAAACTAACTTGGGGGTGACAACCCTCCCCCCAGGTGCGGGCGAGGGTTAACCCTCACACTTTCTGGGGTCGACTAGATTCCTTTCGCAATGCTGTGCCGTTAAATTATTATTTTTCTATAATAAAGACATTTTGTTTTATTGTCGAAATTGAAAAAGGCAGAAATTTTCGTCGATTTCGGACGCCACGGGGATTATTTACATGCAATGTCACCCTGCTGGCCTGGATCCAACAGTAGGGTCAGGTGACCTACGATTTCTTTATTAATATTAAAAAAAAAAAATAGATCATGGCATCCGAGCTGTGACAAAAAATAAGTGACCTAAATCCGATGAGAAAACTGGATTTGGGGGTACCCTAGGTTTGGCTTCTGAGCCTCTGGCCCCCCAGTGAAAATTTCTCAGAGGAGGCCCTGGCGTGGTTCGTAAATTACCGCTTTCGCAATTGGAGGCCCCTAATTGCTTGGAGGCCCCCACTAAATGGAGGCCCCCTTGGACGTTTGGGACCCCAATGGTGATGTCAAAGTTTCACCCATGTTATAATAGTTCTCGTCTCCTCCCGTCGCTGAAGGGGCCGTGGGTGGGCAATCCACGCCAATTCCGTCATACCCCGCGGGCAGACGCCTTCACGCACTCGGGTTTCGATATCGCTAGAACCAGGAAAACGGAAACGAGGGCAACTGATATCCTCTCTTCCAATGACTGTCGTGGGGTCACGCAGACGTCACCCATTATTCGATCTGTACCCCTCTGGCGCCTCGTCACTGGCAGTGTCCAAAACTGCTGGGCTCGCTGATCAGGCGCAGCCGAGCAGCGCGTATTGCCCAGGGGGAGTTGCCCCTATACGCTATTCCCGGCCCGTAGAGTGTAGTGTTCACCGCCGTCTCCGGATTCCGATGTATTCTCACAAACTCGCGGTGCAAAACACTAAGGCACTGCCGTGCTGTGCGGCCGGGCGGAGCCTCTCGACTACTGGCTCTGACTGGAGCCGAGCAGGGTGCGGCAGCCTCACACTCGTATTACCGGGGGCCCGATGCCGAGCCTCGGACACCCGATGCACTAGGTACTCGATACACTACACATTCTCCCCTCTCGCAAAAAAAGGAACAGCATCACTGCGACACGTAGTAGTCCGGTCGTCTACAGGTACGGTCGCTTCGCCTGGGACGCTGCACGCTCACATCGGCGGCGTCCGGCGACGGCTCGCAAGCTGTCTCGGTCGACGGGCGAGAAGCAGCGGCGAGCGAGGTCAGCGGGCCAGCGGCGTCGGCCTCGGAAGTCGTGGCGGTCGACGTGGTCTCGCCGGGCCCAGCGGGGGGAGATGCTGAGGGAGACGCCGGCGCGTATGGGAGACGGGCCAGATGGGCGGCGTTCCAGGTCCGGCCGTCAGCCAGACGGTACGTTGCGGGACCGACGCGCCCAGTGACTCGCACCGGAGACGTGAACCGACAGGACGTCTTCGAGCGGTGTCCCTGCCGTCTCACGCAGACGTAGTCGCCCTCAGTGATGCGCGGCGTCGTCACGCCACGGCGGCGGTCGTAGGACCTCTTGTTGGACTGCTGTCCGCGTCGAACTCGAGACGCCACACTGTCGGCTCCTGGTGTTGACGGCTGAATGACAGGCAGGTTCAGCCTCATCTGTCGTCCATGCAGGAGCTCTGACGGTGACTTCCCAGTTGTCGTGTGTGGGGTGGCTCGATACACCGCCAGGCTCTTGCGTACCTCGTCAATGAACGCTGCTGGTGGACAGTCTGTGATCCACGACTTGAACGTTTTGTTGAAGCGCTCTACGGCGGAGTTGCCTCTAGGCCAGTAGACGGACGATTTGGTGTGCTTCACCCCTCGGGCGGCCAGATACGCAGTGAACTCCCTGCTCGTGAACTGGGGCCCATTGTCCGTCACGATCTCGTCAGGATAGCCCTCTTTGGCCCACACAGTTGACAAGAACTTGATGACGTCTTCAGTCTCAGTCGAGGACGTCAGGCAGACTTCCGCCCATTTGCTTCTGTAGTCAATCAGAGTGATGGCGTAACGGGCAGTCGCTGGTGCTCCGTTGATTGGACCAACGATATCCATTCCCAGTTTCGACCAGGCGCGGTCCGGCAGGTCGTCTGGCTGCATGGGCGCAGGGCGTGCGCGCTGGGAGAGGACTGCGTCGCTGTGCTGGCAGCGCTCGCAACTTCGGCACAGCTCCTCCACCTCACGGTTGATGCCGGGCCACCACGCCAGATTCCGCAGCGCCTGTTTCATGCGGACGATTCCGTCGTGCGCGCTGTGCGCCAGCTCCAGGTATCTGCGGCGGAGCTGAACGGGCACAACAACTTGTTGGGCTCCTCTCAGGATGACGTCGTCGTTGCGCACCCACAACTCGTGTCTCATCTTGAAGTACGGCTGGACTTCAGCCGGGGAGGCCTTGGCGCTGCTCGGCCAGCCGCGCTTGATCTGATGTCGCAGCTGCTGCAGCTCAGGATCAGCAGCTGATGCGGTGCGGACGTCTTGCTCGGTCAGCACGCTCTCTTCATCTGTCAGAAGAGCGATCACCTCTTCTTCAGCGGAGCTGTCTTCATGCAGGTCCGCTTCTTCGGGGTGGCCACGGACCATTGTCAGTGAGCATATCTCGCCAGGGTCGGGCTGAGACGGTGGCGGTTCCGGGACTTCTGCGCTCCCAGTGACCGCCAGCTGATCGATTGCCCCACTCGCGGGGTGCAGGTTTACGTCCAACTGCTTCAGCAGGTCCAGTCCCATGACGGCTTCTTCACCGTCGGAATCTATGATGAAGAACTCTGTGTTGGCTCGCCGTCCACGGTAGGTCACCAGCGCTGGCAGCGTGCCAAGCACTTGAAGCTGGTGTCGACCAAAACCGAACAGACGAGCAGACGTTCTATTGAGATGACTGCCTTTGAAGAGACGTCTGGCGATGCCGAGTCCTAAAGCGGACACCGTGGCACCCGTGTCAACTTGCAGATTCACGGTCTGCGTGATACCTGGTACCTCCATCTGTACTTCGCACATCATCTTATCAGTATTTGGTACGGCGCAGCAGAGAACAGTCAGCTCGTGACACCTTCTGTCGTCGTTCCGTTCACCAGACCAGCAGACCACGGCAAAGTGACCCGTCCGCCCACACTGCCTGCACGTGGCCCCGGTAGCGGGACACCGACCGCGCTCATTGTGCTGGCGCCGACCGCAGCTGGGGCACGTGTCCGGTTGCAGCTGGGCAGGTCCGGGGCGACGGTCGGCTTGCAACTGGGCAGGGGCGGGGCGGCGGTCGTCTTGCCGCCGGGCAGGTCGCCAGGGCCGGCGCCCGCGGCGCTGACGAGCGTCAGATATCTGATGCAGTGACTGCGCTCCGTCGGCGGCGGGCCGCGCCGGCCCGGCCATGGCGGTCGCCTCGCGTCGGGATCGCTCGAATGCCTCGGCGATCTCCAGAACGCGGTCCAGGGTCAGGCCCTTATCCTGCAGAAAACGCTCGCGGAGAATCGGATGCACTGTTGCTTCCACGACTTGGTCACGTATCATTGCGTCTGTCATTTGTCCAAACGAGCAGTTTACTGCCAGGCGGCGCAGCGCCGCCACGTAGTCGGCCGTCGGCTCGTGCGACTCTTGCCGTCGCTGCCGGAAGAAGAACCGCTCCGCGATCACGTTGACCTGAGGTTCATAAAACTCGGCGAGCTGCCGCTCAGCCGCATGGAACTCGTCTTCGTCTTCTCTCCTCGGCTGGACCGGTAGGGTACGGTACACCCGTTGCGCCTCGGCGCCGACACAGTGCAGAAGGAGAGCCGTCTTCCTCTCCGTGCTGTAGGCCTCACCTCCCAGGGCAGTCAGGTAGTTGTGGAAACTGAAAATCCAGTCACTCCAGGGCAGTGCTGGTTTTCCTGGTCTCGCCAGGAACGGAGTTGGCGGCGACACCCCCTCGACGTTCATCGTCGGTAGTATTCAGGATCTCATCCTCGTCGCCAGATGTAGTGTTCACCGCCGTCTCCGGATTCCGATGTATTCTCACAAACTCGCGGTGCAAAACACTAAGGCACTGCCGAGCTGTGCGGCCGGGCGGAGCCTCTCGACTACTGGCTCTGACTGGAGCCGAGCAGGGTGCGGCAGCCTCACACTCGTATTACCGGGGGCCCGATGCCGAGCCTCGGACACCCGATGCACTAGGTACTCGATACACTACATAGAGTTGGGCGACTTATCCTCCTATCTAAGACTCTACGTCCGGACACTCCAAGCACTCGATCGCCAGATGACCTCATGCCAGCCGTAGTCTTTTAACGTGCTGGTGGCCCCACCTCGTGGCGGCCGAGTCGTCCCGTATCACCGTCACATTTACCCCGGTGCCTACGTTAGGTATCAGTGCCAAAATTATCATAATAACCGTGTCCGCCTGCCAAGTAACAATTTCCGTTTGTAATTGTCCTGCACCTATCATGTGAGACATTACCGTCAAAACCGTCATTACGTCTGCTCCGTCATGGTAAGCTGAGCTTACTTCTGGTCCTCACACTCTACTTAAGTGTTTCAAAAGTAAATACCTAATATCCCTTAAATCTCCGTCGACCAAAAGTTTGTTTGATACGGGGGATGATCGTCTAGTCATTGTGTCATTAGTCACGCTGTAAGCACTAAGCATTCACATCAATTCTCATGCGTCACACACACATGTCACAGATCAATTAGCACGTAACACACGTAAGGTCACACTCAATTCCACAATCATGCACATCAAAGGAAAGTCAAGATTTAGCCAGCAAATTTAACCATTAACTGAATTGTGATAAAAAGGCTTTAGTTTGAAAATAGCATTTACTGTAATATATACCTTAAATGTCTGTTATTTTGAAATAAAATGTTACTGCAATACGTTACACATTTCATGAACTTCCAACTCCGGGTGTTGACACAGCCCAGGTGTTCACAAACTCTGCCCTGCTGTCCTCCGGTGAATCTGTCCAGTGTAATCGGTGTAACAGCCTGTGGTGACCTTGACCGTGAGGCGCGCAGTAACCACGTCACCGCTAGCCTTGGGCGAGTGCGTGTGCGTACAGCGGTGTCCTACTTCCACCTGAAAGCTTTCACCGACCGTGCTGCACTTTCGCCAACAGAGACCTCGATAAAGTGGAGTTGCGAGAGCCGCCTGTGAAACGTAAACAAAACCTCCGAAGCATAGCTGCTATTGAAATAATTGAACGGCAAATAAAATATTCTATCAATTTTGTAGGAAATCTCTACTGTGTCGCGGCCATCGTCATACCATAGGCCCTTGGAACAAAACCAACCGAGAAGAGATAACGTTACTTCCCGTGCTGTAATTGAATCATGAATGTTGTTGCAATAAAAAACGTAACCGAAGTACAATTATAGACTCTTAAAATCGAAGCTGAGATACCAATAAAACCAGCAAGGAAATGTTTTAAGTTTGACGAAATCCGATGCAATTACGGTACGCAACCAAAATATTAATCGACCATTACCTATATCGTGAGAACAAAACGAACGGGCTGTCACCAGGCGATATTAGCTGCTGACTGCTGTAGATGTAAGTCGGAATAAAGTCACACGAAACTATCGAATGCGGATCCTATGCCCGAAATTCCCTAAGGAACCAATTAAAGCGACGTTGGCCGAGCTTAATTCTCCAGATATCATGGACCATACAACCGCAAAATTAGCCGAAAAATTTCCCCAATATGAAAGCCACAATGTCATGAAAAATGACCGTGCCGGTTACAATAGCATTTGAAGGCGGAGCGAAATCCAGCTGAATAACCTCGAACCTAATAGAAATAGCGTTGTAATGAAAATACCCAATCAGAAGCCAACCACACAACTTCCTTACATCATTACGAATCCGGAACACCTCCAGATCTCTAGCTCAAGCAGATCGAGATGCAAATCTCAGCACGCACACAACTTTTTAACAACCTGTCGGCACCGGACCATCGCTCAGGTCTCTTGATCGAGCAGATCAAGATGCAACCCCCGGCACACACAACCTCCTAACCGCATGCTGACGCAGGAACACATCCAGGCTTCGTGATCGAGCCGATCAACATGTAAATTTGCACCATGACCGAAGAATACCTTCTGGTAATGAAGGCACCGAATACTCATGGCTACAGGTGTTTATAACCCTTGCCGTGCGAAGAGGTCAACGCCCTCCGCGCACCTTCCCAGTCCCGTTGTCTCTGTGTAATGACCGTGTCCATTTCGTATCCGTAACTTTCAATTTCAACCTTAACCTTAGGCTCGCGGTACTGTGAACATTAACCGACCCACAGAAACTGTTTGTGCGCGTTTTGCACATACCGTCCTCAATTACTTTCACTGACGGTCGAGTCGAGGCGGAACGTGATTATTGTTCGGAAGCGGAAACCCGACCATAAACAAGGTTATTAAACGGTCACAAGCCATATAGGTGCCTCACCAGGTCTCTTAATCGATCTGATTAAGATCATATTCCGGACCAGAGCCACCAGTGTGAATTTATAAGTGGTGTTTGGGATGGGGACAAGGATAAGGATGACTGGGAGAAGGATGAGGATGTAGAGTGGGTCAAGGGTGGGTGTGTGGAAGGATTCAGGCCCCCCTACTGGCTGTTGTGGTAGCTTCTGCTAATATTCCTCGTGTGTCTAGGGGTATACTAATCTGTCATCTGCACAATCCTACTCATCGTTGTCTAGGGGTATCGTCTTAACACTCAACAATCCTTTAGCCGTTGTCTAGGGGTATTCTGATCGACCAAAAACCATGTGTCCCACAAACCCGTTCGTGTCCGAATCATCATATTGCCAGCGTTTCCACAATCATTTCCAACCTCGAGAAAGAACGTAGAAGGTATACATATTAAATATGTATTGTAATTGAAAAGGCCGAAATAAATAAAAGCGAACAATTCAAACAAAAGTGCCAGAAAACGAGCAATGTCACGGTAACCGTGCACTGCTCAAGTAAATATAGCCAAAGTGCCGAAACAATCAAGAAAACCGAAACAATGACCAAGCCAAATCATGACACCGATTCGATATTGCCAGAGGGATGGAACTGACTCATATAGTAGCCAAATAAGTCAACCGGAAGAGCCGAAATGGAATGAGTCAAGTCCCAAGGACCGTGTCTCACAGTCGCGACTTATAGTGACATGTAAACCAACCTGTCGCTCTTAATTCTAGTCACAGTACCGCGGCCAAATCCTAAAGTACTGTTACCCACGCCAGTGTGTGTATATGTGCGTGTCTGTGCCTGAGACATATCTCCGACCACAGCCGAGACTTGATCCGAAGTCAGGCTCAAACCCCCTCGCTCCCCGGCCAGCTAGCCAGGGACGCGACTAGGGCAGTGCAAGAATTCAGTCCAGAGACCTCCGACTGGGTGGAAGATAG